CTTGAAAAACATCTAATAAAAAATAAGGAATATCAATCATCTCACCACAATTCATGAAACACTTTCGATATTATTATTTTTTAATTTTTACTGGTCAAAATAACTTGACTTCGCATTGATAATATAAAAAGCATAGCGAAGCGCTTTCCATCAAAAAGTTTTTTATTTCTAAAATCCAACTTAAAATATCTTATCCAAAAAATAAAAAAATATCAACTGTCTCACTATAATTTACAAAACACTCTCAATTTTAAGACGATAAAGGACTTCACAATTTATTATATTGGTCAAACTTTCTTAAAATAACTATAAATTATAGTCCTTCTAAACATATAAAGTTAGTATTAATTACAACTTTTTATAAATTAAGAAAAGTTAAAAGATAATATGACCAAAAAAATGGAAGTCAAAGGAGAATTGTTTGACTTCCTAAATGCACCATATAAATATTAACTAAAATAGAAAGTGGTGAATTTTTGGTGTTTTCAGAATTTATATTAGCTCACCATAATTAAGTTATAAAAAAAAATGAAAGAATATTAATTAAGTGATGGTTTGGTTATACAAATATTAATAATACATTAATTAGTTATAAGAGAATTAACATATTATTTTATTATTTTATGTAATGCAAATTGAGCTATTCATTTATAAATTATAAATTCATATTTTATTCAGTATAAAATAATTCATAAATTTCCTTATTACTTACAAACGATTTAATAACCTTCGATTGTTATCAAATAACACGAAAGAGTTTATGTTTTATATATACCGTCAATATAATTTTTTAACTTTTTTGTAATCCAAGTTATCAAAGTCGTATAAAAACAATTTTTATTTATTTTTTTGTAATTCAAATTATCAAAATCGTATAAAAACAATTTTTAGTTTGACCCGTTTTTTCATATTTCCTTCAATCACGGGTCGGAAGTCACATGGCTACGATTATGATAGAATATATAAACGCATTTAATAAACTCACATTTTTTTAATTCTTTTTTCCTTTCCAATTCAATAAATATTTTTTTGTAAAAAAAAAGTCAGTTTTTTTTTAGAATAAAAAAATGAACTTTTTCTTTTTCAGCTTTGCCTTCACGCAGTGATTGGTGGCCTTCTGTTTATTACTATGTGTTTCGAGTTATTTGTTCGTATTGAATTTGATATAAAATTTTAAAAAATTAAATATTGTTATTTTATTTAAAATTATCTAAAAAGTAAATAATTATATAAATTAAAATAGAAGAAAAATATTTATTTACTCACAAGAAATTACTTTCGCTCAAATTCTTCTGTATTTCATAATTTTGTTATTCTTTTTAAATACTGACTCAATTAATTTAAATTCGTAAAAAGCTTCGTAGAAATATAATCTTTTATATTTTTTTTAGTTTAATTAAACTTTTATATTAACATCCCACGTGATGGTACGGTTTTGTTGGTACAAAAGACAATCCCAACAGAAAAAAAAATTAATAAAATTAAAATCATCAAAAGAGAGAACACCAATTTATCTACGAATCACTTTATTTTGTCAGATTTATTAAAAGGGCCTGCCTTATATTATTATAACAATAAAAATAATAATAATGCAAAACTAATTAAAATAATTGAATAAATAAATTGTGTATCATAAATTTGGTGGCAAATTTGATCCAACTTTTGTGTGACTCACAACTAAATCCATTTGACCCTACATTTATTGCAATTAATTCAGTTGTCTTTTTAACTATAAATTTTGAAAAAAAAATAAAATACATCATTGGTTATATTAAAACTTTATTTTTAAAAAGAAATTGTACGCGATTAAAATCTAATTTTATATCCATAATTATTAATTAAATATATTGACTTTTATTTCTTTGTACGTATAAAATTAAATGTTGTAAAATATGGAGAGCACATCTACCTTCTTGAATAAGTGATGTGACTTATACTTATGGATCGTAATGAGATAATTCGTATTCATAATCAGAAGTTTCAGCGTTAAATTTATGAAAAAAAAATTGATGTAATGTTTTATCAAAAATAGAATTTATATTATATTGATTTTCGAATATAGAATATCGAACGTTGAGTTTAAAAAAAAAGTGACTTGGTTGTTTGGTCACATAACTTTGTGGTTTTAAGTTGTCACACAATTTATTTTATGAAAATATTATTTAAGTAATTCGTGAATATTATACTCTATGTTGTAATCTCTAATAAAAAAATTAGGAAATAGCGATGGATAACTTCTTTTTTTAAATAACAAAAATTCATCGCTAAATCTATTTAGTGATAATTATTTAAAAAAAACTTCGAGTTAGGTACAAATTATTTAACAAATATTTTTCTAGCGGTCAACAATTTTACTTTTACTTATCATCATTTTTCTACTTTTTTTCTTACATAAAAGTCAACCAAATTATTTAAAAGTTGTTTGTACGTTAAGTCAATTTAAGTATGTCTATTGCAATTTCGTAAGTATACAAGTAAATGATACTAGTACTAAAAAAATATAAACATTGACGGTTTATTAAAATATTTAAAATTCAATCTTTATAAAAATAAAATTATCTTTGATAAAGAACGTTATACTTTCAATGTTAAATTTTTATACATAAATCTAAATTAATTTGATCGAAAATAAATATTAGACGCCGAGAAAAAAAATGAAAATGATATAAAGAATTATTAGTGCATGTATGATGAATAATACATTAGCATCAATGCGTAATCATTAATTTGTTTTATAGTTAAAAAGGGAGCTCTTTTTTGCACTTTTTTAATTTTAAAAAGGAAAAGAGTACTTTTTTAATTTTATTTTTTCACAATGTTTTCCATTTTGAATATTTGAAAAAAGAAGTCTTATAAAGCTCTTCACTCTTTTTTATCAAGATAATAATAATCAATAAAAGAGGTACAAATTTGGACCATAATTGATTCTGCTTTTAGGTTTTGTTATGTCACCAATATATTATAATTTCATATTTTACTTTATTTATGAATATTTAGATATAATTTCGGATCGATCATTTACAAATATATATGTTTTGATAGTGTTTTAACGTGAAGTCAACTACGAGGTTCGATTAAATTTGAATTTGTATATTGTAGGTTCATTTATAGGGTGACATTCTTAGAAATTCGAACATGAAAACTCTTGATTTAGAATATAGGAATCTCAATCATTGCATCATAACCTATGTTGATAACGATTTTTATTTGATCTGAAAATTCAATACGACTCACATATCGATATTCAATCTGAACTAAAAAAAATCGTGAAATTTTCAATAATTGTGTGTCAAATGCTACAAACAAAAGCATAGCCAATATTATTATTGCTTGCACCCAATATTTATATTATGTATACATTATAATTTGACATGATCAAATGTAAGTTGAGGCAAATTAAAATAGATATTATTTAATAATCACAAAGTAATATAAATTTTTTTAAATTACACTATGTCTCGATCATGATAATCAACCATTTAGATCCGTCCTCGTATAATATATACAATCCAATAGTATCTCGTCATGTGATTGGATGAAGGATATATATCCCTCCACCCCTTAATCAGAGGTCTTGAATCCGAATCCTAGAAATAGAGTATTTCTTTGTGAAATGTAACTTCACTTAGTTACACTACACGAATTTCAAATCTCCAATGATTAAACCAAAAATATACACTCATGCACACTCGATATTTACATCAAATCAATAAATGCATGTCAATTATAATTTATATGTTTATATTTAAACGATAAGTTAATACGATTTGACGTAATAACGAAGTACATTAGTTGATAAATAAAAAATATTGTTTACCAAACAAAAGAACAAATTAAAGCCGTGACATGCGATACAAATTTAATTATGATTACATCGACGCGTTCCATTGACAATTAAAAAGTCTTCATTACTAATTTTGCAGCTGTAAAACTATATGCTAAAATTACTATATACTTTTTTCAACTCACTTTTCTAATTTTTCCATAATTTTGTTTTAGTCAAATCAAACTATCATTTGCTTAACTTTTTTTATTGGTCCTAATCCTGTACTTTTCTTTCACCTTTTTTAAGTTTACCCATTTGATTGAACTTTGCCAACTTTATTGTTGATTTCAACTTATTTTCTGGTGTTTGGTAAATAAGAAGAAAATGTACGTTGTTTGAAAACATCTATGTATAATCTAGGCATACGCTATTTTACGAACGTCGACAACATATGCTTATAATTGACCGACAATAGTTCTTTCTGTGCCAGTTATTTAGTGATTTTAATACGATAAAATAAAAATCAAGCAATCAAATCAGAGCTCAATGTTCTAAGTTCCCGCTATGCACTGACTCCGAAAAGGATCAGGTCCACAATCTTGTTAAACATTTTTGCGAAAGACTATCACAACTCGAACATGGTAACCTCATAATCACATCACAACAACTTTCTCAGACATTTGGATCGATTCGAAAGACTATGACAACTTGAACATGTAACCTCATAATCACATCACAACAACTTTATCAGACATTTGAATCAATTCGAAAAACTATCACAACTCGAACATGTAACCTCATTATCACATTACAACAATTTTATCAGACATTTGAATCAATTCTTTCTCAATTCAAAAGACTGTCACAACTCGGACAACCTCATAATCACATCACCCAACAACTTTATCAGACATTTGATCAATTTGAAAAACTATCACAACTCGAACATGTAACCTCATTATGAGGTCACAATAATTTTATCAAACATTTGAATCAATTCGAAAGACTATCACAACTCGACATGTAACACAACTCGACATGTAACCCCATAATCACATCACGACGACTTTATCAGACATTCAAATAAAATTGATTTGATTCAACATATATGATTAAACCACAATCTATTTGGGCCTCATTTCCACCAAACTCTTGTCAATTGACATATTGGCATGTTCTTTTTCTCCAACTAATATGAATGAAAGAAGCGCGATTTCGATTCGGGGAGGTGAGGTGAGGGAGATTGTTCATGGATCATATCATATCTGTAAATTAGTGTGCATAACAAGTAGACTCAAATGTATAATTTAAAGAATCATACATTACAGTAAAGTTTAAAAGATTGAAAAAGTCTATTTAGGAGATAATATCAGTTGGTTGATCAAAAAGCTTGTTAGAGTTTCCTTGTTCCACTTTAATCTGTCCTCCATCTATCAGTGTAGAACTTGAATTGCCACCCTGAATTAAAACAACATTCAAATGAGGAAATGAAAGAGCTGTTAGATCTATGCAATCCTTTCGTTTTACGGTTTATAAAAGTGAATATAATGCTCTAAGAACCTTCAAACTTGTTGACTCTGCGAATGTCGATTCTACTTCTCTTAGGTGCTCTTCTGTTTTCATATCGTCCTGAAAATTTGAACGGGAAGAAACTATTGTAACAGTTTCCTATGGCAATCAGTAGAAAATGATCGATAAGGGTTAAGCAAGAACGAGAGGAGGGATCTTGTTTAGTGTTCATGGAATAACAAAAAATTTGCCAGATGCAATAGAAGCATATGGTGATACTACATTATAATGAGAGAAGGGTGGAAGTCGAGCATCGTTTTATTTATTTAGTGAACTTGACACAAGGCCCCACCGACCATACAAGGCCAAAGCATAAGAAAGCAAACTCAAAATGAACAGAATAGCAACCACAAGCTTCATATGAAGCAAGAATCCATCAACATCAAGGAAATAATTTGTAGCTCATTAGAAATGGAGGAGGAATTATTTTTGTTAAACTAATGCCTGCACAGAAACAACGGACACCGAATTGAATCATTGACATACGTCAAAAAAACAGATGATTGCATCTAAACATTGTTTCAGATACAAAGTAAAGGCTGATACATACCGTGCCTTTTCCTTCAGGTTCAACATGTTCCCTCCTCACTCTGCTAGGATTGGGCTTACTGTATGAAATCACCCTTTTCATAATAAGCAAGATAACAGGGTACAGGTTGAAGAACAAATATATCTCTGTCAATATGAATAAAATAGAAAAAGTGAAGTACCGTTCTTCGCCATTTGTGTCAGAATCAGCATCCCATCTTGAATCTGCATCCTCTAGATCTTCATCAGCCTGAAAGTTACAAAAATACATCAACGTCTTCCAACATAAAATCCAACAATTCTTTTCAATATCAGATAAATCTCCTATGGCTTACTAGGAACCTTATACCCTCCTCCAACTTAATTACAAGGTCTTGTCCACAGTAGGATTTGAACCCATGATGTGTGCTTAGCCCACACATCAGGTGTTGTGTCCTTACCGTTGAACCAAAGCCCTGGGTTCAAAATCCAACAATATTGTTATCAACAACAGAAATATGAAAGCTTATCATACACAGGGAAGAGTTATTTTTGCATCTCTCGAAATGGAACATAAAAAGCTAAATGTAGAAAGTGGCAAATATGGAAACAAATAGCAGCACGACCCAACGATTTTGTTTCAAATTATAATCCAATCTTGGAAACTGAAACTCAAACACTTAGTAGTGAATGGTAATGTTTCCGAGAGCAATGTAAGGTAAATGAAAGCAAACCTCAGGCAATTCAGTATCCGGTGGTCGCTCCTGGAACTGCACACTTGGGGCATGCTGAAGCTTTGAAAGATTATCAAGCAGCTTTGATCTTATATCTTCTAAAATCTGACGAGAATTTTTGTTCTCCATGTTACTTGGAGCGACATGCAAGGTATAATCTGGACCAAAGTATTCATAATATTCATGTTGCGGCATCTTATCTTCAAGCTCTATTCCTAATGCAACTCCTGTCTGCTCAAACACAGAAGAACAATTCATAAGTATAAGAAAATCACAACAGACATTACAAAGTACAGTCAACGGTTCAAATTTTTTTAGAAGAAAAGGTCCAATAGAGTACTTGGGGAATATACAACATTCTCCTCCAAAGCATGGTTAGGCTATCCTTTTTACGGTACCTTAAGTCCTTCCCTCCCCAGACAGGAGGTGTGAGAGGTTGGCTATGGTGGGTATGCGGAGAAGTAAACATCTACCATTTCCACAGTAGTCTCCTTTTCAACGTTAGACAGTAAAAACTAAAATTAACAGTTTGTGCCCCACATGCTATCCACTTCTACTACCAACGAGCATGCATTTTCAACTCGACAACGACCACAAACCCAGTAATTCTCCCACAAGTGGGGTCTAGGGAAGGTGAGATGTACGCAGACCTTCTAATAGACATTTGATTCAAAATGGAAGGAGAATACATTCATTTTCAGAACTTTGCATTCTTTAGACTGAAACACTTTGTAAAGAAACACTGTGTCCACTTATACTCACACAACTATAGATTAAACTGCAAGAAGCAAAGATGTCAGACTCAAGTTCATAGACATACATTTACTGAACTCGCATATCCTGGCATGTTCGTGGTATAAATGAGAAATCTGACAATGTGAGCCTTCGGTTTGGTTTTATTTTTAACAAACAGACCAAACCAAACCATGAACATCCCTATTCATGGGTAATATGTTGTTAAACTACTACAGTAAAAAATCATACTCTTTTCCTTTTCTTGGTAGGTTACTTCATTCAAAACATATTCACAATCAAAATGTACTGAAAAGAAGAGAAGTCAGTCTAATTCAATCATTACTTATTAGATGTATGCACAAATTGATAGGATAAATGACTTGCTTACTTCGTAACACCAGCAACGAGCAACATTACGTATTGTGTAGCCGCCTCCACCAAGCAACAACAATGGCACATTGAAAGACCTCATGTACTTGACACATTCAGCATGACCTTTAATAGAGAGATTAAAGCAGCCTAGCCGATCGCCAGACAAGGAATCTGCACCACATTGCAAAACCACAGCACCAGGCTTAAAAACTTCCATCACTTTGCCCATAATAGGCTTAAAGAGGGACTGATAGCTCTCATCATCAATTCCATCATCTAGTGGAACATTTAGAGAGTAGTATTTTCCACTTCCATAACCAATATCACGTACATCCCCTGTACCAGGAAAGTAATCTCCAAATTTATGAAAGGAAACTGTCATGACCCTATCTGTAGTATAGAAGGCCTCTTCCACGCCATCACCATGATGGATATCAATATCCACATACAATACTCTCTGCAACAGTGATATAAACAAGGTAAATTAGCAATGAAGAACTTATACAGCTTAGGAATGTAAATGTGATTATTATGTGTTGGATGTAAGCGTACGATTGACATTTAGTTAATGATTGTAAAGCTAACACCAACTTAACCAGTTTCAAAACAAAATTAAAAAAGAATTGTAAAGTTAACATTGTGTTGTTTTGTTGATAATTCTAAAGCTAATAAGAACATGTCATAGTGGGTTAAAATGAAATGGAAGGAAGAGTAGTGAGGGATGAGAGGTTAACGCCATTTCTTGTTTTGATTACAGAAAACGACTCGAGTAGAATTTTATATATACAAGATACTCCCAAAAAAAAATCCAATTTCAACTTAGCTTTTGTTTTGATTACAGATTTCATTGTAGCTGTCCCATATTTCAACGTTGATTTTTGGTCAAAGTATCCAAAACCGGTTGACTTAAGCCGGTACGGCTCCCACACCCACACCCATGTCGTGTCAACACAGATGCGATACCGAAAGTAAAGAGTCCGAGCAACTTACTCTCTAACCTAATCCAATGAGGCTAGTTATTTTATTTAATGTGTTTTCCTGAAGAGTACATGATAACATAGCCTGTCCATGGGATGGCTGATTATCACAATATCACAACATAGCTTGGTGACACGATGTCAATGTGTGAATAGTAAAGGAATAGTGAGAAAATGTGAAAAATGTGTCCTGACCAATTTTGTCAATCAGTCAATCAACCTCCATTTGGAAAAAAGTGAGTAAGAACAGCAATAATGAAATACCTCATGGACTTTGAGTAGCTCCAGAATAGCCAACACGATATCGTTCACATAGCAGAAACCAGATGCTTCACATTTCTTGGCATGATGCAATCCACCAGCCCAATTTACAGCGATATCACAGTGTCCATGGTTCAACTTAACTGCCCCACCAACAGAACCTCCAGCGTAGGTTTGGCAGAAGGAATAAAGACCATCAAAAACTGGACAGTCCTCCCCGACATTGAACCTCTTCAGCTGCCTCAGCTGATCTTGCTGTGTTTCTGGTGTTACGCTTCTCAAGAAAGCAATATAATCATCAGCATGAAACCTACAGAGATCCTTATCTCTAGCAGGATTTGGCTTCAGAACATGCATGTGTTGTAATAGACCATAGTGGGCAAGAAGAGCATGTGTCATCCGCATTCTATGTGGCTTCATTGGATGGCCTTGTCCATAATAGTAATTACCAACTTCAGGATCATAGAAATAACTTACTTTTCTCTTCTTTCCATCTGCACCAGATGCTAAGGAGTTTCCTCCAACATCCATTTCCCAAGCTATAAACCAGTAAGGATAAACCTTTAACAGATGGAAAGCAAAGGCATAAGGACAATTCAGCAATACAAAGTAAATCTAAACACATATTCACAACCAACAAAGGATGTTGACGTAAATACATATATTTAGATCTTTTCTCTTAGAATAAAGAATATAAATCATTAAAAAAAAAACAAAGAGTAAGGCATGATTAAATATGGACACCCAAACAGAAACAGAAGACACCACCATACACTAATACTAAGAAGGGTGTAGAGTCATTATGACTTGCCAAATTGGGTTTAGTTTGGAAGAATTAGCCCCAAAATACAATAACAATAAGAAAACTACTTCGCCTCAATCCCAAACTAGTCAGAGAATTAGTCCAAAAAATAAGCTTCAAAATGGAGAAAATTTTGAGTACAGTCTAAGAGTCAACGTAAGACAGCAAAAACAACAATTGGTAAAACTATGATAATATCTAGTCAGTTTCAGCAAGAAGATGATTTATTCATGTAACCACACAGAACATGTTATCTTTTCTTCATCACCAAAAATTGCTTCATCCTGCCTAAAGACACTAAAGCTTGAATTTAATCACTATAACACAAAGTACATCAACCACACTGAAACAAAACAAAGTATTTTTCTTTTATACTAATAATAAAAACAATACTTCTTCATAGACAGAAAAAAACACACAACTGAACATATAAAATACAGAAATAAGCCTCTCAACAGTACATGTGAGCAAATGAATCCAGAATCCAAAACCTTAGTATAATTTAGCAGCTCCTAATACAATATGCAAACATGAAACCCCCACCCCCACCCCCACCTCAAAATCCACCAAAATAAAAAGCATAAAGACTCAATTTTGTTGCATTTAAGAGTACTTAAAGTTCAAAACTTTTGATAGAACCACACAATCAGCAAGATTCAACAAACCCCATCAAACAAATCAATAGTACTTTAACTACATCAAATTTTTCAACCAAAATTTTAACAAAAACACCCATATTCCCACTTATTTTTACTTAAATCTCCTCAACTAACAACCCAAATAAGCAAATTGCAAGAACCAACCAACCAATCATGGCCAAGACCCATTTTTTTTGCTCAAACACCCATATAGCCAAAAGGGTACTCAGTTAAACCATATACCCAACAATCTGTACAAGAAAAACAGTAAAGACAACAACTTTCCCATTCTTTTTCCCCCTCATATGTTAATACAACAATTTAGAGTCCAATAAATGAAGGGGTTGTTTGGGGGTAGGGGGGGATTGACAAGAAGAGCTAACCTGAAAGTGAAAACCAGAAGAAGCGGCCACTACAGTAGAGATCGCTAAAGGTTGAGTAGAGAAGAAAAAACCAGATGTAAAATATATTTATGTCTTCAAACTAATGGAAAATATATACACATTTATTTATTTATTTTTCAAATATCAATTAATTAATATTGTCCCAATTTTAACACTTTATTTATTTATTCATTTATCTTTCGAATATCAATTAATTAATATTGTCCTAATTCTAATACATATTGGATTTAGTTATATGAATTTTGGCAAATTATTCATGTCTTTTCTTTGTGTCAAGTTATTCTAATATTTACTTTTTTCATGATACTTTTAGAACTTGTTATAATTATAAATTAATTTCTACAAATGTATAATAATCCTTTCTTCCTCTTTCTTATTAAAAAATAAAGGAATTTTCACATAAAGCACTTAAAAATAACCTAATTACTTTCATAGCTATAGGGAGGAGAGAGAGGAGCAAGATTGAGAGAGAGGAGAGAGGCAAGCGAGGGAGGACAAAGATTGGTAGAAGGCGAATTGTATATATATATATACATACATATATATATATACATATCTATATATATACATATATACATATCTCTCTCTCTCTATATATATATATATATCGGTTAGATATTTGTATATTATATATATGTAATTGTATATATGGAAAAACGAGATTGGGAGAGAGAGAAGAGAGGTGAGTGAGTTTGGGAGAGGGAAGAGAGAGGCGAGCGAAATTGAGAGAGGCGAGAGAGAGCGCAAAGAGTGGGAGAGAGGTGAATTGTATATTATATTGGTTAGATAAGTGTATATCATACATATGTATTTGTATATTCTGCCGAATTATACATATACAAACGTGACTAATCATACAAACTCGAAGTCAACCCACATAATTAATGTATAATGTTAGTTGCTTGTAATAATTATAGCAAACTATAATTATAATGAGTAATTAAGTAGTATAAATTTACTTAACCCCGTAATTTTCAAAAAAAAAATCAAAATATAATGATCAAATATATATGTTTAATCTTAACATATAAAACAATTTAAACTTTGTTTATACATAATGACAATTTAGGTGAGTATATAACACAATAACTCAAGTTCCATCAAGTTCGTCAGCTTAAAAATTAGTTATAAGTATATTTTACATTACATATTAATATTAATTAATCAGAGCTAATAAATTTTGTTTTTGTTTCCTCAAACGTGTTAAATAATTTTTATGTTTGGTTAAAATCATAAATGTGATGATAAATATAACACTCTATAAATTATGTGGAAAAAAAAAACAGAAAAAATAGAAATCACTTGAAAATTTATATATAAATAAAAAATTAAATTAATTAATAGTCTTATAAACAACAAATTTGATTGGTCCCTCTATCATTTATATATGCGTGTAAAATTTGTGTTATACTTCTACATGCTTATCATAATTGAATCATTTTAGTTTTAAATTGTTTTTAAAATTAAATACAACATATTAAAATAAAATTTTCCTTCTTATCTCGAAATCAAATTAAAAAAAACAAGAAAATCACCTTTGATTCATAGATTATATGTTATGCAAAATCATTTCTTATGATAACACTTGCCCAACTATAACATAATTGAAGGTAAAATCAAAGTCTATAGACATTCAGAAAATTATTGAAAAATGAAAAATATAGAAATTATTTTAAATTTTTAACTTCGCTTAAAAAAACAAAATTTTTATTGTCCATCCTTCATACATAAGTTCAATGTTTATATAAGTTAATTTTATTTCTAACGCATAATTCGAGACGTTTTAAGAAATTACAACAAGTGAATATAATGTAACGTTTTATCCATTAAGCAGACATTTCAATTTTATTGACTTATGAATACTTGAATGATCAGAACAACTTTTGATTATGAAGCACAAAATCTATAACAAATTATTACAGGGTTCATTATATTGAAATAACCCGAACTATTAACTTATACTCCATGACATCAAAAGTCATTTCGTTACATATTAGTTAAGCGAGATATAAAATTCAAAATTATCTTATAATAATTAGAAACGTATAAAACCGAACCCCAAAACCATACATATCCATCAATCTTTTATGGACTCAAAAGAGAAGAGGCCCAATTATTTTGGCCCAAAAGCCAACATGTATATTTCTAACTCAAAAATACTCAATAAAATCTTCATCTTCCTCAACAAGAACAAATTTGAAATTTGAAAATCTCAAGGAGAGAAAAAATGGCGTCGAAATCGAGCATGAAAGGTTTCTACAAGCAGCAGAAGAAGAGTGGAGGCATCACAAAACCATCGAAATCAAAATCCACCAAACCAAAAAATGCTGCAGCTATTGGTTCTAATGTTACTCAGCCTTCAGCACTCATCTCCCATGGCTCTCTTGATTTGAAAGGTCAGATTTTTTCAATTTAAAACACCAATTTCTTTCACCCCTTTTCGATTTTAACTCTATTGCGTATTGGGTACTTTTTAATTTCGGTATTAGGGTTTGTTTAATCTTGTTTATCTGTCTTTGTTTTTGAGGGGAATTAGGAGTTCTCTGTTTTCGTTCACATGCTTGTGGTTTGAGTTATGGTGATCCTTTAGTGGAATCTTGCTTCTGGTTTGTTATAAATTAGGGATTCCTGCAAATCCTAAATGCGAACTAAACCCACAAAATTAATGATTTCTATGAGTCTAAAACGTTGAAGACGAAAACAACTTCGTTTCAGACTCAAGCAATTTGATATGTGTGTACTTGTTGTGTTGCTTTGTGAGAAAAGGGACACCTTTACAGCTTTTTTTTTTCGAGGTATGGTTGAGTAGGGACTTTCGACTTGCTTAGCAAATTGTTGACTTTGATATAGTTTTGGAAGAAAAAATGGAAACGAAGAAAATATTTTGAATTCTGTAAACATTTAGGGAGGTTGATTATGGTACTTGTGTTTTTGCTGTTTTACTATATTATATTTCCATTCGTTAGAGTTGGCGAGTCTCTTTAAGCTAAAGTTCAAGCGAGATGGTGGATAGTCTATAACCAACTCTCATGTTGGTTGGCGGTGCAGCTGTTCTTGCATTAGTATTGACTGACTAGGGACTAGGAGTGCGCAATAGCTTTTTGTATAATAGTTATTCAATTAGTAAGGTGGTATAGTCGAGGTATGCTAAAGCTCTACTCAATACCACCGTTATTTTGAAAAAGAAGAAGCTTTTTAGGGACTAGGAGTGCGCAATAGCTTTTTGTATAATAGTTATTCAGTAAGTAAAGTGGTATAGTCGAGGTATGCTAAAGCTCTACTCAATACCACCGTTATTTTGAAAAAAAAGAAGCTTTTTGTATGGTAGTCACTTAGTAAAAAAAAAGGTAGTGTAAAAGAGATTTACTCCAAGGTATTAAGATAGCTTTTCCCAAGATCTGATTGTTGCAAGGTAGAATAATTTCTATCCTATGTCTTCCACTTATAGCCAATTATCTCATTTCATATGTTCTTCTTCCGTTTTGTTTGGACATCGTCTTTAAGATACTTTATTCCTTAAATATTAGAAGCCAATTTGTGATGAATAATTGAAAAATGCTTGAAGAGTGGGGGTAAACAGATTTTTTCAGAAGAAGAACACGTCTATTTTTGTCGAGTCAATGATGTTGAACTTGCTTAAAAACTGGCATCTCTCTTGTTGAATGTTTGCCTTAGTCGTTATGCCTATGCCTTGCCATACTAACACTAGAAGTTCATACTTATATTAATTAGAGACATAGTTATGAATTTTTTTATTCAAGAGAACCATTTTGTCAAGATTTTTTGGGCATAATAATATCATATTGAACATTGCCTATATTCTTTTTCGGGGTGGGAGAGGTCAAAGTTGTTATTTTCTCATTTTAGCCATGAATTAGTACTATAGCTACTGAAATTTGCTTGTCCACTTGTCTCTATCGTTTAGCAAAAAGGAAGTTGTCACTACTTCAAATAGAAAATATTGTGCTAGAAGAGTTGCCGAATTATATAATCGACCTGTAAGTATGGAAACATCTGTCCACCAGGCACGAAATATAATCTCTGTTCTTTTGGTATTGTGCTTATAAAAGATAGTGGGTTTTTTTCAAATTCTGAAAGTTATGGTTCTTTCTCTCTCTTTCCCCCCAATATTTCGTGATCTGAAAGAGGTAGCTTTTGTGTGCCTTGCTATTGCCAAATCTGCAGATAATTATGATCAGAATGAGGAAGTGTTGAGGCAATTCGACATGAATATGGTTTATGGGCCATGCCTTGGAATGAACAGACTGGACAGGTGGGAGCGTGCCAAGAAACTTGGAATGAACCCTCCAGCAGACGTGGAGCGCCTTTTAAGGTCTAACAAAGTTCGCAATGAGTGCCTGTGGGATGGTCGCGTTTAGCCCCCTTCTGCACTATTCCCATCTTTTGGTTTACATCTAGTTCCATGGCCTCTCCGTTTTCATTTTCTTCTTTTGGGGTTTTTGGGAAAGGTATCATATGTACAACAAGATGTACAGCAGCTGGCTGTACTATTAAGTATCTTTAGAGATATGCTCTACTTGACTCTAATTTTAATGTTATTTGCCCTGAAGTTTTCTGTTTCTTGTGTGATTAATTTACTGCTGAAATCTTTCATATTTTTCATAATCATGAAAACTGATCAGGATGTTTTAACATTCAAATCTTAATCATTAAGCGTTTTCTTTAATGACAAGTGAAACCCGCAGCTGCTATCCTTTCGGTGCCCATAAGGTAAAACCCTTGATTCTTTGCAATAGCTCGCAAATCACATAGAAGAGGTAATTCACACTAGACAAGTCCGGTGTGACAAGCTCGACCTAAAAGGCTAACTCCGTGCTTTCGGTGACAAAATATTTCGAAATTGAGACCACCAATATAGGTTTCAAGCCCAAACCACTGGTTTTAGGTATGAACGATTAATATTTATAACGATGACAATTTGTTGAATTCATCTATCTCAATTATCATCACACAACCTCTATTGCTGCTCATAAGTATAATCAAGCATTACCGACATTAACCATCATTTACAGTCATAATTATCTACAAATTACTACACACAATCACCACTATTGATCATCACTATAAAACGTCAATCAATGCCGCTTACTTACACTATTAACCGTCACTATCGTCCAACACAACCATCAATCACTATTATAACCATCATTTAACTATAACTACTACACACAACACCACCATTAGCCATTACACCATCCTCAATACCCAAAACTATCAACCCTAGCTATTATCTCCACCGATCATTATAATATAATATTTTTATTAATTTTTTTATAAAAATAAATCTTGTAGATGTCTATTTAGGTTCGAATTTTATATAAAATTAAAATATACTAAAATATATATCGCGTAAAATTAAGACACATAGAATAAAATGAAACGAGACGGCTATGTGATGGGTTGGGGGTGGGGGGTGGGGTGGGATATTCATAATATAGTTGGGTCCTAAGTTGATGCCGCGTAATTCTAAGCAATGGTGCTCTCCCACTTCTTCCTCTTTTGATATTCCGAAAGCTCTGCATTTTTACAACATCCCCTTCTTCATCATCAACCTTTACCTCATATATCAAGAAAACCCATTTTCATCTTCCATTTTTTGATTTTTTGGAACCCCTTTTGAGAAAAATAGGCCAATCTTCAAAGCCTCATTTTCAAGAACCAAAAAAGAAGGTACTTTTTGGCTAAAGAACTAATTTTTATCATTTACCCCTATGAAAAAAGAAGAAAAAATCCTTATTTTTGAATTGGGAATGTTCATATTGCAATTTATGTTTGTGGGGTTTGAAAAAGATTGTGTTTTTATCAATTGTTAGCTGACTTTTTGTGTTAATGTATCTGGAAACTTTGATTATTTCTTGTGATTGGTGAACTTGTCCTTTCTTATGTGATGATTGATCAGTTTTTGTGGGTAAATTGTATTTTAGCTGTCATGTTTTTCTTTTGATTTGCTTGAGTCGAGGGTCTCTCGAAAATAGCCTCTCTACCTCGGAGAGATAGTGGTAAGGTCTGCGTAGACTTTACCCTCCCCAGACCCCACCTTTTGGGATTTTACTGGGTTTATTTTTGTTGTATAGCTGCTGAGGACTCACATTGTGCTGTGAAAATATGAAAAATGTATTGTGGGTAATTGCATTTTAGGTTATGTATAGTAGTTGCTGACAAAAAAAGAGGATTTACATTAACAACAACAACATCCCGGTGCAACCTCAGCAGGTGGAGTCTGGGAGGGGAGGGGAGCGGAGGGTGTACGTAGACCTTACCTCTACCTCGTGGAGGTAGAGAATCTGTTTATAAAAGATACTCGACTCAAGTAAAAAGAAAAAAAAAGGACTTATGTTGTGTTGTGAATATGAAAAATATTTGTAATGAATTTAGACTTCGGCTGACCAAATTATTTAGTGAATAACCTTTTTGTTTCTGGTTGTTCAGTTGGTTCTTATGTGGTGTTTGAAGAGTGTTGGAAGCATAGAGGCTAACTCCACAAATACCCTTTTGGATTGAGTTTGTACATAGAGTAATTTATTTTGGGGTCACGAGCGAGCTCGTTGCTGTAGTTTCGAGAAGCTCTTGCACATTTGGTTATGAATTTGGTTAAATGTTTGAGAAGTAAAGGTGAAAGTACAAGGAGAGGATATTGTACAGCTAAGTATAGACCATGACTAGTGAGTCTTGTGGAGTTTCAGGTCAAAACGTTGGCAATGATGTTCCGCTTACTGAAAATCACAATGACAGGTATAGACATAATGTATCCATGCAGACAGGCGAAGAGTTTTCAGAAGAGTTTTTTATGAAAACTTTGACACCAAGAAAAGCAAACATAACAAGAGATACAGAACAAAATCAGCCAATTATAGGTATTTCAAATCCCGCTCAAAATTGCCACGTTGTCTCTAGGGAACTTCATGACCTCCTTGGGATAAAAAGAAGTGATTCAGACTGTGGTGCTGAGTTTTCGGACTATTCTCCTAGGATAGCATATGCACCGGAAGGTGACAAGAAGACTTATTTTGATACAGTAAGCAGATGTAACAGGGAATGTAGTGTCAGTGGACAACAACCATCAAGATTCTTCGATGAGAAGAACAGAGATGTAGTAGCTCCTTGCGCAACTGGTCGAGACATATATGCATCAGAGTCCCCTCATTCACATCAAATCCGAAACCCTGAGGGAGGAGTTTCTGAGAGCTGTGGGAATGGAAAGATAAGATTACTCTGCAGCTATGGGGGTAGAATCTTACCAAGGCCGAATGATGGGAAGCTTAGATATGTAGGTGGGGAGACGAGAATTATATCAATTAGGAAGAACCTAGCTTTCAACGAGCTTGTAAAAAAGACAATAGCAATTTGTAATCAACCTCATACAATTAAGTATCAGCTTCCTGAAGAAGATCTTGATGCACTTGTATCCGTTTCATCCGATGAGGATTTTCTGCACATGATTGAGGAATATCATGACTTGGGAAAAAGTTCTCAAAGGCTACGGTTGTTTCTTGTGCCTTGTGCTGATTCTGAGGTCACTTGTTCCTTTGAAGGAATGACATTACAGCAAAGTGAAGCTGACTATCAGTATGTTGTTGCAGTAAACGGAATGCTTGAGCCAGGTCATCGTAGAAGCTCTAGCAGGGAGGCCTTTGCAAACCAAGCAAGTCAATTTGGAAACACTTTGGACTTTAGTCCTATGTGCCAAAGAGATTCCCCAACTTATCTCCCATTTGAGAACCATAATGGAGGTAATTCAATGAATGTGAAGTTTCTGCTCCGAAATCCCAGTACTTCTTATGTTAACATATCTCAGGTCCCCTCTAATTCATATGTTCAATCATCTCCTTTATCTCCAGCGACATTTCAGATCACTGATCCTAACCGTTCCCATGTCCTTTTAAATGATAATGTTGCAAGCATTGACTTTCCTGATGCCGGTAGTCCATATGTAGTAGACGAACCACTATATGAAAATTCCTATCATGTTGATACCACAGGCTACTATTATAATTGTCCCCTTGAGACTACTCCAAGGACAAATTACCCTAGTAAACGATCTGTGTCTTCTGCACAGTTTGGTCGAACAGAGTTGGATTCTAGGAGGCTAATGTCAAACAAAAGGGAAATGCACATAGAAAAGCTAAACCATTCTCAAGATACAAGAATGTCTCCTGGATCTGATATTCAAGCTTCATCTGGTTACAGCATGCACCAAGATGCCACTGATCAATCACAATTGGTAGAGAGGCCCAATTTATCTAGAGAAGATTCAATAAGCTTACCCCCTTCAGATTTTCTACGAGAAAAATCTCCATCACTTGCAATGTCTTATTCATCTCAAGAATGGTCAACGAAAGAGCATGAGGTGAGAGATGAAAATTACCTAATTGCCAAGAAGGAGCATCAGCCAAATATAGAAGCCAGAGAACGCAACCAAGAGTATACTGAATGGAGTCAAAGTACAAATAACTGGATAAAGAAGACATGTCCTACTTTCAACAAGTGCAGTAGAAGCTCTGAGGTTAATGCAAGCGATATACCAACTGTTAATGGCCTGGAACATGAGTTGAAATTGCCAAAAATTCTATGCTACTCGGAGCCAGAACTTAGTGTCTACACATCATCATCAGATCCCAAAATCCAAGTGGAAACACACACTTCTTCACCCCCTATGCCTCAAAAGAATTCAATAGTCACTTCCAAACAGCACCACATAGATGACGATATAATTCACATAACAGCACCTTATACTCAAGCTTGTGGAGGCACAACAACTTCTGTACCGTCTATTTCTCATGAATGTTTAACAAATATTGCTGGAGGTAGATATGTTAATTACAACTTAAGTCCTTCAACACCTTGTTGTCTCGTCAAGGACCAGAAGGAATCCAAACATGACCATCATGTTGTAGCTACAACAATGAACAATACAACTGAATCCTGCATATATTATGAGCTGCAGCCTTCTATAATAAAGGATAATAATGACCTCCAAAACATACAATCTGTGCCATTTCCTTCCGAAGAGTCTCTTTTTTATTTGGATTGGAGAAATCCTTTGAGTGGTGATCTATCAATTCCAAATTCAGCTGCAGATGTGGCTTACACTCATGAGGTCTCTTTCCACCAGAAACTTGTGGATGGTCCTCATAAATCTACAGAAAAGGAAAATGCTGATAGAGTTGCTTATGAAAAGGCAGCATCTGGGAATGTTTCATTTCTCCATTTGCAGCAGTCAGATGATTCATATGACAGAAAATTACGAGAAATTGCTGTTATTGTGGAAGATGTAACCGATAGTGTGCCTCCTGATATACCCTTATCTTCAACAATAGTTCCACATGTGCAAGATGAACCTAGTGATGGGCTTCCATCTGCTGAGGAAGGAACCAATGTTGAGAATGTTCTTGAAGAATCTGATCATGAGGTAATAATTATTGATTCATTGGCATCAGTTCTCATCTGTTTTATGAAATAAACTTGATCAGTTTATGAATCTGTAGGATGGCAGAAATGGTTCTAATGGAAAGGAAGAATCTGTCACTGATTCTGCGATCATTGAAAAGGAGGCTGGGATCTATGGCTTACAGGTCCAGAGTTAATTCCATTAAATATGAAGTCTAATATTGGTTTTTGACATCTAGTGAATGCTACTTTTTTATCCCTTATTGCTAAATAAAAATGCTTTCTGAGGCACAAAGCCTGATATGTTGTGTTCTTTATGCATTGGATCTTTCAAGCTCAGTACTTTACCAACTGTATCATAGTGAATGAAGGAGTAGATGTGGCAGAGTCAGAAATTTATGCAAGTGGACTAAAAGAAGTACTATAATATCACATCTAGAATTTGAACCTATAGCCTAAAGCATTTTTCGAACCCCTTTGCCACTACATTGGAAGCTTCCCTTATGTCAAAGGGATTCAAATGTTTGTATATGACCAAAAAAGAAGTAGTTTTACTTATTTACATAGTATAATTTTCAGATGAAAGAGACTCCGTTGAAACCCTTTGCTCTACAGCTCTACCCCTGTGAGTAGACTACACCAGATACCACATAGGAATAGCACATGATGAAGTTCGCAGAATAAAATTCATATTTTTCACTTCCCATTCATATTTTATAAACAAGAAGGCATGACTGAGGCAATTAAATGCTGATGAGACTGTTCTTTTCAAGACTGCTGAATGTGTTTTTCCTTTTATACACTGTTAAGCATGCACTTAATTTTTCAGAAACTTCTGTTTCATTTTAATGTTTAAGCTTTTTGTGGTCATAAGCTGCCATAGGTAGTTGTGTGTATGACTCAATTATGGAACAGTTGAAATTTTTATTTGCCTTTTTTTTTCCTTATTAAGATTTTACATAACTGACAGATAGTTTTTTCTCAATCTGAACTAAATCAGTGAGTTACTACTCGCAGATCATAAAAAACAGTGATCTTGAAGAGCTACAAGAATTGGGATCTGGAACATATGGTACAGTATATTATGGGAAGTGGAGGGGAACAGATGTTGCTATCAAGAGAATAAAACAAAGTTGTTTTGCTGGGAGTTCATCTGAACAAGAACGTCTGGTAGGCGTGACTCAGATTCATAGAGTCAAGTTACATTTAGATGTGGAAGGAAATATAACATTCCTAAAGCATGCTAAGAGAAGTTACTCATAAAGAAATGAACCATACCGACTAATTCTTTGTCGAGTTAATAATTCTTAAGTGAAGAAAAAACGTTTCTCGTAATCCTCTATTGGTAAGTGTCTAATTATTTTTGCAGATCAAAGAATTCTGGAGAGAGGCTAAGATTCTATCTAAACTACACCATCCAAATATAGTGGCACTCTATGGGGTGGTTCCAAATGGACCTGGTGGAACAGTGGCTACAGTTACTGAATATATGGTCAATGGGTCTCTGAGGAATGTTCTGGCTAGGAAGGACCGGTAAGTTTGCTGCTTCTCATTTCCACTTATTTGTAGTTCCAATATTTTTCGCCCATGACACTAGTCACATTCAAAATATTTGATCGAAGAAAATAGTTGCCTTTTTCCGGAATATGACCTATGGAATTACTCAGTTCTTGCAGAGCGCTTGATCGGCGAAAAAAACTTATGCTTGCATTAGATGCTGCTTTTGGCATGGAGTACCTACATTTGAAAAATATTGTTCATTTCGATTTGAAATGTGAAAACTTGCTGGTCAACTTGGGAGATCCACATCGTCCTGTGTGCAAGGTAAAGGTTCAAATGTGTCTGTTTTAATTATAAAATACCAAGCTTCTCTTAAGTGTTACTTTATCTGGTATATAGCCAGTAGCCAGCAAATTTTAAGTTCTGGAAGATGCAACGAAGTCTGTTGCAACGTATTAGTTCAAGATTGACACGTAATTTTTTAGGTTGGTGATTTTGGGTTATCACGGATTAAGAGAAATACCCTTGTTTCGGGTGGCGTTAGAGGAACACTTCCATGGATGGCGCCGGAGCTATTGAATGGAAACAGCAGTCGGGTTTCAGAAAAGGTAAGATCTCTATTTTAATATGCTTAACTTCAAAACTGGACCACAAAGAATGTTTATATCCCAGATATGAAGTAATGTCATTAATCCGTTTGACAGGTTGATGTGTTTTCGTTTGGCATCACAATGTGGGAGATCTTGACAGGGGAGGAGCCTTATGCAAACCTGCACTGTGGTGCTATTATTGGTAAGCTTCTTCGAGATGGTACTCTAACTAATTTAATGCCTAATCATGGAATTCTAAGAGTAGGCTTGCAATTGCAACTGTGTTTCGATGATAAAACACTTCTTTACACTGTCAATAGTACAAAGTTGCATTCTCATACCATAAAACATTTCAATATCTCAATTCTCACAAGAACTTAGACACATTGCCCTTGCTCGCCATTATTTTTGGGACGGAGGGAGTAGTTGTTTCACTTCTTCTTTTCTGTTGTAAGATAGCATTCCACACACATGAAGATGAACAAATAGTACATTTGAGAGTTTTTGTGCAAGCTTGAAGATTTGAACTAATTTTATGAATTGTGGATGAAGGTGGAATTGTAAATAACACACTCAGACCTCCCGTCCCACAACGTTGTGATCCTGAATGGGGAAAACTGATGGAAGAGTGCTGGTCGCCTGATTCAGAAGCAAGACCGTCATTTACAGAGATAACAAACAGACTTCGCGCTATGTCACAAGCGCTCCAGCCAAAGACTCGAGTAAGGACATGAAATTGTACAGTCAATGTTTGTGTAAAGAAAAGTTTTATAGGAAAGAAAGAAAAGTAGTGTCTGTCCTTTCTGTTAAAACTTCCAGCTTCCTGTGTGTAAATGATGAAATAGCACATCATTTTGAACATTGGATACATAATTGATATACAACATCAACGTACCTGGTGAAATCCCACAAGTGGAGTCGTGTACGTAGGCCGTACTATTACCTCGTGGAGGTAGAAAGTCTGTTTCCAAAAGAATTGATATACAAGATTACCTTTCCAAATTACTTCACTTGCCCCTCTTTGTTATTGGATCTGTTTTTTACATTATTTCTATTAAGATCTTATTCACTTCCTCGAGTGAATCGAGAAATATATTCGATCATCATTCATCCTTTTGATATATATCAAACACTACATTCTCTGAATAATTCAAATATTTACTCAATGAATATATTGCCTCATGCTGATAATATAAAATTTCGGGTTCAATGTACTCTAAATGTTGTTAATAAAATTACAAGTAATTCATTATTCTTAACAAAGACTTTTTGATTCATTAAATCACGAGTAATTCATGCTATTATTCTTAATTTACATACAATTACATTAATCTTTGATAAAAATGTATTTTAAATGTGTAAATTTTTTAAACACTATATACTATAAATTAATTGAATCAATAAATTTTCAACAGCTAATCAAACTATTGTTTTATTTAATAGAAAGAGCTGTCAATTGCTAATCAACTAGGCACGCATCTCAAGACGTTCTTGATCACTCATGACGATGACGTGTGGAATTCAACTAGCGAAGTCTCGTGAGTGTAACAAACATCATTTTATACAATATACAAAATATATAATATTCAAAATCAATTGTGTAATCATTTTCGTTTCTCTTTTATATTCTCTAAACATTTTATTACTATTTGTGTTCACATTAAAAAAAATGTATTATAGGATAAACAATTCTATAAAGGATATTTTTGTAAAGATAAAAAACTTGATATAAAATTTGAATCTTTAAAAGATCCAAATAATGAGATTTGACCCAATATTAATTTTTTCCTGATATTTAGAAATTTGATTTATTTGTCAAATTATATCAGCAAATACTATTTGTCAAATTATTGATCAAAATTTATTTGAAAAATCTATGATTAAACGGATTTTAAGTAAAAAGTAATTCAATTTTACCATTTATGTTCATTTTTATTTGTCGAATCATACTTTTTAAATTATGTCTATTTTTACTTATCCAATTCTACGTATAATCTATTTAGCGAAAAATATTTGCGAATTATTTGAGTTTATAAATAAAATATTTTTCGAAAGATTTGTCATGTAGCTCCCTAAGCCCCAAAAGAATATACGAATAGCGTCACCAACTCTTATCTTTTGATTATTCAACCCATACTTTTAAGATAAACTTTTACGTTTTTTCTTGATTTTGCGAAGTTCAATACAAAGTGGACCGCCTTTCTCTTTGCTATATATATACAGAGAAGTCTAGAAAATTCAGTTCATTGTATTGGATCATCAACTCGTTGAAATCTGAGATTAACAATTATGGATAAAGCAATCGAGAGACAAAGAGTTCTTCTTCAACATCTACGTCCTTCACAGACGTCTTCTTCTTTGGAAAACATTGAATCATCTATTTCTGTGAGTGTTTTTTTTTTTTTCAGTTTTTGATTTGGTTTTGTGGTTTGATTTCAATTTAATGATGTGGGTGTGTGTTGGTTTTTGTTTTTGATTTGTGTTTCACTCTGTTTTTGTGGTTTTGGGTGTGTTTTTGATTCGTGTCTTCAGTAGAATTTTGGATTTGATTTGTTTAATTGTGTTAGTTGGAGTGTTGATGATCCCTTTTTTTTATGTGGGTATGGTTCAGTTTGATCGATTTGATGTTTTTTAAGAGGAAGTTTTATGTTTCCAGATTTGTATATGGTTTGTTTTGATCAAAGTTTGAATCTTTAACCTTGTCTATGTCTACGAGGTCGAGACCCAGCTTATGGGATTACATGAGCTATTTAGTTGTTGTTCGAAAGTTTTAAGTCTTTAAGCTTGTCTATTTCTACGAGATCGAGACCCCTCTTGTGAGACTTCACTAGCTATGTTGTTGTTCGAATGTTGTAAGTCTTTTATGGGAATGGTGTAATAGTAGTTTTTGTCTTTGTGGCTATGGTTTAGTAGTAGTTTTTCTCTTTGTGGTTAATGGTGTAGTAGTAGTTTTTGTCTTTGTGGCTATGGTGAAGTAGTAGTTCTTGTTTAGGTTCATAGGTGGATGGCCTAGAGATAAGAAGCTATTAATTGCTTCATGTTTTGGTTAGGGGGCAACATCAATTATTGTATAGTGCTTCTAATACAGTTATGGAATTTTTATTTCATCGGATCAGCAGATCTGACGGCCTATTAACTTTTTCTATCTTTTTTTGGGAATGCAACTTGGTACAGTTGTAATGAATACTATAATTGGAAAACAGAAAGCCTATGACATGTATACCTTTTCAAGTTCTTCTTTTCCTAATTAGGGTGTACCCTTTCTACTTTTAAAGTTACTACTCTTGTTCTTTTTTTTTCCCTTGATGTTTAGAAATCTGCAAATTATCAGGACGATTACCGATGTAGAAAATGGATATATATTTTGACTTCGTTAATTTCAATGGTAGTTTAACTGTTTCTCTGAGTTAGCGCAGAACGGCAGAAGTATATTAATTGGTGTCTTGGGAAAAACAGAAGTATAATTAGAAGTTGCAATCTGCTGACAAATTGATTTGTGTTGTGTGAACTGTGAAGGAACGCCCCACAACTTAAAATTTAATAACTACATAACAGGCACCTCGAGTTGCTGTTTTTTTTCATAGATATAAGGGAATACTTTTTATGATTGATATAAAAGACGGTGAATCCTAGACTAGACGTCCAATGGTGGATGTGCCTTTATCATGTTTGATCATGTTATAAAATTTGACAATTATATGTTTAGCAACTACAAGAATATCCAGTTGATCTTATAGTGTATTATTGTAATACTTGAGTCCTTTTTTTTGGTTAATTGGCTTGTTCTTGAATACTCATTTCACTGTGCATCCGAGGTTTCATGAGAAGTCTATTACTTTCTTGAGTAGTAAACAGGGTTGTCTTAATTTCAAACATCAGGTGTCTTAAAAAGTAATACATTATATCTTTGTTCCTTATGTTCTTTCAATTTTCAACCAGGCATCTGTCTGCTCTGCTGGAGACAGTGCTGCTTACCAGAGAACTTCCGTTTTTGGAGATGATGTTGTCATAGTTGCGTAAGTTGTTATAGCTAATGACATCTCTAGATTTAGTTTCTGAGTTGATACTCGAGCTACAACTTCGCACTGCTTTCTTGGCCTTCCATTTTTCATGTTTTTGTTGCATCTCATTTCTCAATGGTATCTTTACTGTGAGAACCTATTTGTTTATTGCAGTGCGTATAGGACTCCTCTTTGCAAAGCAAAGAGAGGAGGCTTCAAGGATACTTATCCTGATGATATACTTGCTGCAGTTCTAAAGGTGGGTTAAACTAAGCTGAGTTGTGGATTGCCGGCCAAGATTATCAAAGATATTTACCTGTATTTTTCTTTACATCTTCACTACAGGCGGTGATTGAAAAGACTAATGTGAACCCTAGTGAAGTTGGGGATATTGTTGTTGGCTCGGTGTTGGCCCCAGGTTCCCAGAGGGCAAGTGAATGCAGGATGGCTGCATTTTATGCTGGTTTTCCTGGTAGGTGGTTTTTAATTATCGTCATTTATGTATGAGGTCTTGTTTCAAGATGCTAAGTTCTCTTCCTCTGGAGCAGAAACCGTGCCAATTAGAACTGTAAACCGGCAATGTTCATCAGGCCTTCAAGCAGTTGCTGATGTAGCTGCAGCTATTAAAGCTGGATTTTATGACATTGGTGTGTTACCGTTTCTTTTTTTTACAAGTGCACTGTAGCTGTATACCATGTATATTGTGTTTTTCCCATTTCTAATTTTTTGGTTGACTTATCACTCACAAATCAGGTATTGGTGCGGGATTGGAATCTATGACCACAAACCCAATGGCTTGGGAAGGATCAGTCAACCCAAAAGTATATCTTCGTTTTACTGAAGCATATTATTACACTTTTTTTTACATAATTGTCAGGCTTATTTTCAGTAGAGATGAGTGCTACTGGAAGATTGCCATAACCTGTAACATTTGATCTCAGGTTAAGTCAATGGTACAAGCTCAGGACTGTCTTCTTCCTATGGGTATTACTTCTGAAAATGTTGCACATCGCTTTGGTGTGACAAGGCAGGAACAAGATCAGGCTGCGGTAAGTTAAATAGACCATCAATTTATGACCATGTCTATTTGGTGTATTTGGTGTTCTATAACCTCTCATTTTTATTTGTGATGCTAGGTTGATTCACATCGTAAGGCTGCTGCGGCCACTGCTTCTGGAAAATTCAAGGATGAAATAATTCCTGTAGCCACGAAGGTTGCATCCGTCTAAATTTTGATCACTTGGAATTTAGTAGTAGGTATATCAACTACGCCCTCTAATGTTTTATCTTCTTCTCTAAAAGATTGTTGACCCAAAAACGGGAGATGAGAAACCGGTAACCATCTCTGTCGATGATGGAATACGACCAAATGCCAGTGTGTCAGACTTGGCAAAATTGAAGCCAGTTTTCAAGAAGAGTGGAACTACTACTGCTGGTATTTTAGTAGTCTTCAAGTCCGAAATGTAATTTTAAGTTGGAGTATGGTTAATGAAGTTCTCTTCTTTTGCTGCAGGGAATTCCAGCCAAGTAACTGATGGTGCTGGAGCTGTACTGCTAATGAAAAGAAGCATTGCAATGCAAAAGGGACTTCCTATCCTTGGTGTATTCAGGTATTCCCCTTTCTAATTTTTCACATGCTATTTATAGTTGCAGTGACATTACTTACCGTCAGAAACTCTTAAATCATTGCCTTTACGCTTATTGGGTTTCTTTACAATTCCTTCTCGTGCCTGACCTTAGTCTGGTAAAGCTCGTACAGTTTTTGCATCTTTTTTCTATTTTTGGTATTCGTCTTAAAAGAGAACTAACTCCCGCTGTTCATGCAGAACCTTTGCTGCGGTGGGTGTAGACCCTGCCATTATGGGAATTGGTCCAGCTGTTGCAATTCCAGCTGCTGTCAAATCTGCAGGCCTTGAACTTGAAGATATTGATCTCTTTGAGATAAATGAGGTAATTTGCATAAATTCATAAGCTCTTTCTCTTCAACCCATTGTACAGTTTTTTTACTATGATTTTTGTTTAGGCATTTGCATCACAATTTGTTTATTGCCGGAAGAAGCTTGAACTTGACCCAGAAAAGATCAATGTCAATGGAGGTGCAATGGCCATTGGTCATCCTTTGGGTGCTACAGGTAAATTTTTGACCGTTCCATACGATAGTAATTGCGATGTTTCAAATGGAAGTGTCATCTATGAGTTTGCTCTGTACCACGACAATTTTGTTGCGAGTTTAGACATAATGATAAATTGTCATCAGTTGGCTCTAAACAACTATCCATTCAGATCAATGAAGGTTTACTTGTAGGGCCTCTTCCACATTCAAACCACTCTTAATACTTGATTGGGACAGTTCTCTATGTTCTTGCTAGTTATTTACATCATTGATTATCCTGATGAGGAATGCTTTCTCTATTGTCAAAACAGGTGCACGGTGTGTTGCAACGCTGTTGCATGAGATGAAGCGCCGTGGGAAAGACTGCCGCTTTGGTGTAGTGTCCATGTGCATAGGTAATCTTTTCTCTCTCCTTTCTTTGCTCTTTCGCACACCAAAAGCCCAGACTGAAATCCTTCATTGAACCTTTGGAATGGTTATCTTATGCTCTTGTTTTGCATTTCACAACAGGCACTGGAATGGGTGCTGCTGCAGTCTTTGAAAGAGGAGACTCCTGCGATGAGCTACGCAACGCCCGTAAAATTGACAGCCACAACCACCTTCTATCTAAAGATGCTCTTTAAAGAGAGGAAGGCATACACAATAGTTTCATTGAATAATATTTACAAAGAAAAAAATAAGTGTAGTTCTTTAAGAAATTTCTTGGAAGAGATCATTTTCTAGAATTGCACTAACTTGGTCTCTCTCTGTTGAATTTTTACTATAAGAACAGTTGTGTTCCTTTCATTTGGTTTTAAGATAATAAAAAAACAGCTTCCTTATGCAGATTAGTACATGTTAAGGCGATCGGTATCGGTTTATATTTGAGTTTGAGCTTGATGAATGACTTAGTGTTTATATGGTTTATTTTTATTTATCGAAAAGCGAGTTTTTGATCATTGTTACAATATATTTAATGTAGTAAAGTGTACGTTGATGTTATTACTACGTTTAGGATTATTACTACCTTTTTTGGTTAGGAGGGTGTTTTCGATTTACTCTGTATGAATTGTGAGTTTGATTTTGCACCATATATTTAACATAAACAGTTCGTGAAGACTCCTAAATCATAATGCCCAAGTTTGAATATACTAAACACATTAAGTAGATTTGAGAAGTAAGTAATATTTATTTCTCACGGCAACCAACGTTTGGGGGTCGTTAAATCATAGCTTGCTACTGAAAAACACCGCTAAGCCAGCATAGTTCACTTCACTCTTCAAGTTCAGCCCTCTATCGCGCAGCATCCATGGTTGAATGGTTAATGTACTATCCATAATTGGCGAATTCATCCAACTATTGGGACATTTAACATCAAGTATAGAGAAATAATTGAAGAAAACCATATAGCAAAAGAGAGCACTTTGTTCTGAACAACCTTGAACAAAAAGTAAAAGATTTGTATCAAAATCTAAGCTGCAACTGGCATGGATTCCACATATCATCTCCACAGCAGGTTATGATATCGAACACTTGCAAACTGGGCATGATGTTTTTCTACTCAGCCATGGATCAATGCACTGCAGTAAGTTCAATGAGCGTTAGAACGTTGGTTGCTTAACAAACTTATAACAACACTCTGAAGAAGAAAATTTAGAAGTTTACGTCTTTGTGAAACTTGTGTAAGCAAGGGAGATGGCGGATAACGTCCCCTATGGTTGGAGTTTCGAGACAAACAGCACATGGTTCTTGAAGACTCTCATTCTGCAAGGAGCTAGAGAGGGTGAGCAACATGTACTTCAAGCTCACAGCTTTAAGCAGTACGCAAACAAAAATCTGTACTTGTAATACTACAATTCCAATGATGTTCCTAGAGTGGATAAATAGATGGATGCCCGTATAGCAAACAACTGTTATGTGTACAGTTGTTTGAATATTATGGGAAAACATCAAGGCGATACAAAAGCTTAATCTTAGGTTAAGATTCGACACAACAAAGAGATCATGGTTACCTGAACTGTCGACTGTGGCAAGTTGTTGATTTGTCGTGAAGATGAACCACCATGTTGGTGGTTGTTCTCATCAAGGGCCAATAACATTTCGTAGTCATTCCTAAACCAAATAAAGGAAAGAACATGTTAGACAGCACAGAAAAGATTGTCCAAACCAAAATAATAATGCTAAGAAGAGGTAATAGTAATACCGCCATTATAAGGGTGGATCACATAAAACAACAAAGAAGCTTACAACACGCAGACACTACATTCACGAAAAAACATATCTCCCTGTAGTAACCCATACCCTTGGACCTTAACTTCAGAAAGGATCAAATTATGTTACATGGATATAGGAGGGGAAGTCTACTAATAACATACATTAGAGAGTTCTAAGCACTCAGTCGCCAATGGCTCTATTTACATTTTAATGCAACAAAAATTAATTTCATTATCAGAAAGAACACATGAACACTGATAAACATGAGAAAACTTACTCATTGAAGTCGCGCTGAGTCTGAAGGAGGTTCCTGTCCACATCCATATTACTGAAAGCCTCTAAGGTTTCCAATATATGCATCCTCTGCAGTATTCAGAAAAGGCAAATCATACATTCTAGGTTAGCTAAAATGGACACACATTAAGCAAATACATCGTCAACAATTAGACATTTCCCATTTCCATCAGTTCGTCAAATGATACAATTATTAAGTTAGGTGGAAAGAGCATCTCCTTGATGCTGAAGTTCTGTTTTGAAGAAGCTGATCGTGTCTATAAGGAGAAGTATACAACAGAAAGTGCAGACCAGAAGAACCAATCAGGCCAAGGAGATGCACAAGAGAGTATAAAGAGCTTCCAAAGTGTGCTTTAGGTCCAACTATAGATGTCCTCTTAGCATAAAATGCATACTGAGATTTTTCTGTAAGGACTATATAATTTAATAATTGGTGGAACTACTACTGATTGATTTAATTGCACACATTTATCTCTAAAAACCCGTCACTTGTAGCCAAATGAACACAAGCAGCATGTAAAATGATAAGAAACACAACTTCAGCTGACTAAATATTATATTACTGACCAAAATCATGAGGAAAAGTGCAAGTTATAATACCATGTCCACATCCATGTTAGGAGGAAACAGCGAATTTCTTCCTCTAGATGATGAGATAGTACGAGGTTGTCCAGGGAAACTGTTCCTCAACCTTGTCATCCTACTCGAGGTAGACGCCCGAGCTTGAGAAGCTCTACGAGATATGTTGGATGCATTTCTTGGTTGCCTTCTGCGTAAGTTTGTGACCAATGATCCATTCTAAACAAAAATCCCCACATCCCAAAAATTAGACGAGGAAAAGAGAGAATTTCAGTCAGAGGTCAAGGCCCAATCATTACAGAAAGAAAGCAGAATAGGAATTAAAGGCCTTTTTTCTATGCACATTTTGAAGAACATTGATATAAGATCACTCTAAAATCATGAGATTAATGAGAAAACTTCTTCATTAATCAGTGATATTTAAAATTTGAAAGATACATAAGATGGAAATACTAAACCAGCAACAAATTAAAAGAGCAAAATGAAAACCTTAGATTTTCATATCCCTGGTTAATGCTATAGTGTCATGTTCTTCCCTACTTATGAAAGAGCAGAAAGGAAGCTAAATCAGTTTACAACTGATTTTATATTGGGAGGTGGTAGGAATTCTACTTGCCAAAGTGGTAAGCAGTGACAGGATCTAATAAGGAAGATGATCAAGGTGTTAATAATCTGAGATTGCAATTGTGGAGTAATACTTGAATATCTTATGGCTATGGAAGTTCTATAGAGAATGAGTAAGGTCTTTAGGTATGTTACGGGAGTATGGAAGGTCCCAGTGCACAATACCTGTAACAGATCTTGTTCGGTTGGTCAAAACCCATAACGTCCTCTCATATTGTAGCATTATCAGAACACATTGGCAGAAAACCTGTAACATATCTTTTCCCACCAAGGAAAATCCTTCCTGATATTTAGTTTTTGCCACAGCAGATGAATGTCAAATTAATAAACGGGACATTAAATTCAGACTTTTTTTTTGGGATAAGTAGAAGAAATTTATAGGATTAAGAATTTGATTGGTAAGCTCGGGCTACTAACAGAAATGGAGAGAATGAAGGAACTTTCTTCTTAACCAGGTTCAACAATCTGGAAAAGAGAATGATGGTTATTTTTCTGTGAAGTCTTGTCACAAACTACTCATCAAGTCTGGAACCATGACCCTAGAAATACTGTAGAAAGAGAGCACCACTAAAGTAGTCTAATCTGGTTTGATTGCTGTGTGTGAAGCATTCCTGACGCATGCATGCCCGGATGGGGAAAAGTTCCTTAATCTCTTTGGACTGCTGGATATACTTTTGCTAGCCGGAGGGCTGAAAATCAAGGAGGTCAGAACACTTCGAAACACTATCCCCATATCCTCATTCTGGACAGTTCAGAGAGCAGCTAGGAACAATATATGTTTTAACTAAGGCAGAAACACTAAGTTTCATAAAATTTAGATTTGTAAAACCTTTAGGCTTAAACTTTTTGGTGTAATCTGAAAAAATATACATATTAAGATACAATATGGTTTAAGATTTTTCATATAAGCAAAGATGAAGTTTAAGTTCCATAGTAAGTACTTTCTATTACTAAATTTCTAATTTTCATATATCATCATCTTCAGGTATATGTATTTGTTGCTTAAGCGTCGCAATGTACCCAGCCTACACTATTACTAGCTTCAAGGTTGCCCAGAAAGACTCTAACAATGCTACCCCTCACATTTGAGAAGATAAATTTGGTTCCATATGCACCATCATAAGTACTTATACTAGAAAGAAACAGATGGTTCAATACCAATTAATGTCAAAGAAAAACTTAGTGTCCTAAGATCTATTTTAGCAGGAAATTAAAAATCAGTTTTTAACTTGGACGCATGATAAAGCTTTCAAACATGAAACATCATGTATAGATATCTAAATGTCAGATGACAATATCGATATTAGACCTAAGTGGCACATATATTACTACCAAGTGATGGAAAGTACAAGAGGAGAATAAAATGTAAGGAAGCCAACATACAGGACCAGATAATTGGTTCTCTAATCCAGAGGACGCACGTCGGAAATCCTCCTGCATTAAAGCCAAGGCTACATCTTCGTCAATCTGTTGGGAAGAAGAGAAAACTTATCAAACATCTAAGCATGGTGTGAAGACAAGAACAGCTAAATATTGATGGAAAATAACTAAAACTATTCTACATAAAGTGTACTACCTCGCCAACACCGAAGGAAGGGACCTCATTGTACAACTGTTCCTGGAGTTCCCGTGCAAGCCTTTCATCAGCATCTACTTGACTGGCTCTAGCATCTTCATTCCTACTACTGCTACAGACAACACGAGAGCCTTCATGTCTTATGGTAGAGGAAGGACTGTCCACTACAATCACTGGTTCTACGTCCGTACCTACATGACTCGGGTTTCTTGTGGACCTTGTATTAACCCTACTTTCAGGTGAGCTAAGGCAAATGATGTCTACATCCTTAGAGACTGATGTAGAACATTCACCATGGCTGCTTGAGGCAGGTCCTTGCTTTAGTCTTTTCTTAACTGTGCTTGGTGCAGTACGATGACCATTAATTTGGCGACATTGAGGTTCAGCAGGGGGTCCCTTTGGCCCTTCAGATATACCAGAAAGATGTCTAATAGAAGCTGAATCATGACAACTAGTTGCATCATCTCTTCTCATCACCCTACTCCCACTGGGATGAGTGACAAAGTGTGCACTATCTCTTTCTACAGTCCTGTGCAGATTGGGCAATGACAAGTGTGAACTGCGGTTACGCGTACTTCTCCATCCTCCTGATTCGTCAAAGCTTCTGAACACATCTCTACTGGAATCACTGGTTTCCAATGAAAACACTTTTGTATGAGACCTTTACCAGGACAATAGTTAATTGTTGGAGATAAATCAACAGTCAAAAGTAGGTATGATTATGAGTACCCAGTGTAATCCCACAAGTTGGGTCTAGGGAGGGTAGAATGCAAGCAAAACTCACCCTACATATGTGGGTAGAAAGGTTGTTTCATATAGACCCTCGGATAGAGAGGTATGATTATGAGTAATAATGTAAAATGACTAGAATAATGTCACATACCATTTCTAAGTTTACATAGGAGTAGTAATATCTCATACAACAAGATACAGCAAGCGCTAACAAAAGAACTCATTTTAGCCAAAATAGAGTTACTCACAGCACATATAAGTTTTTCTGAATAAATTTTGGCACAGCAAATAAGTCCAAATGCAGATTTGAATTCAGATGCATCACGGGAGCAGATGTTTAAATCCATGCATCAATCCATACATGATAACAAACTTAACTGGGTTCCATGTTGAATATCAAAGTGTAGATCCTTGGTAGGAAAGTAATTAGCTTACACTATAGGACATCTTGACATGCACGCTACACTAATGTCATACATGATGTAAATCAAAATTCCTTTCTCCCTATTTGAACAGCCTAGTAAATTTGATATAAACTGTTGACAGAAAAGAATGAAAGCTATCTTTTATGTGAATATATAGACAATGTTCACCAATTACATACCTGCTAGACGTATGTCCTGTGTCACATTCTTTTGAAGAGGAAGAATGGATAACCACCCCCTTACCCTTCACAGAGGTACCATCGTTAGATATTATTTCTTTAGCACTAACTGAGCTTGTACCAGGGGATGATGCTGTAAGACTGGTATCAGTTAGCCCATGGATTAAAATACTGTTATCCTCCATCTCCGCTGGCTTTTTAGCCTTAGCTATGTTCATAGGGGATATACATCCATTTCGGACCAATCTTTTCTGCCCAGTTACTCTTGGTGAGTTAGCAAGAGATGTAGAACCATCCTTCCGAGCTCCAAGCTGTGCATCAATGGTAGAATCCTTTTCTCCATGAGATTTATATAAACCAAGTTTAGCTAGATCAGCAATTTCCTTTCCTTTGCTGGTACTGCTGGATGGTGTGGAAGTCGTACTGTCCAAATTAGAGTGTTCATTCATCACGGCTGATCGCGATCTAAATTTTTCATCTTGACCAATATTATGTACTCCAACTGCAGGAGACTTGACAAACACACGAGTCGACGACCCACTTTGCTTTGCCAGGTCTATGACAGGACGGTCTTGCTGACCTTTTGATTCTGTGATTCCATTTTTAGCAAGATGCAAGTTATGTTTCTCCTTGGAATTAGGAATTGAGGGAACCTTGAACGGAACACCATTTCTAGAAGGCAAAGAATCTCCCATACCAAAAGCTGATGAATTTGCATCGCATTCAGATTTCATGAAAATTCTTCTTGGAGGACGCATAAACAACCTTTTTCTTCCAAAACCATTATCATTAAGTTGATTTCCATTCTCAGCAACACCATTCCCATTTACTGAATTCCCTGATGCAGACAAATCACTCTCTACATCGGCATACCTCCTCCCGTTCATATCCTTAGCAGCTAATCTATTAGGGGTATCAGGAATATCCAATTGATTATCACAACTCAAATGATCCATAATCTGCACAGCACAGCCGCGAGCGGATACATCACATTGGTGTACAAATGTAACAAATCAAAAACTACCCCACAAATCATAACATCATATAAGGTGCAGAATCAAATCAACATATCATAATTAACAACACAAAATAACAAACACAAGAACAATGGTACATAGTGAAGTCCAGGGAGGGTAGAGTATCCACAAACCGACCACATATAACCACAAAGATTAAATCTTTCATACACAAGATACTACTACAGATAACAAAATCACTATCTCCCAAGTCCATTAATGACCCTTGTTACAATTCAGCAAAAGATACAAAAAAAAAATAAATTAAAATCTGGAAATTAGAAAGATTCTGCCTAGCCTTAGATATGAAAAAAGGAAAAAAAAATTCTTTCTTTCTTACCCATTTCAAATAATTGTGTTTCAAGCAAAAAAAAAAAACCCCAAAATGCAAATCAATGATAACAAACTCAAGAATCAAGAATTCAAGTAAACATCAAACCTTTAATGGATAATTCACAAACCCCACAATTTTTTTACAGAAAAACTCAATCTTGATATGAAAAAAAGCAAAGCTAGGGTTTGATTTGGGAGAAATGGAGGTGGTGATGTTACAGTGCCATGTCCAAACTACCCTTAGATGTTTTTGAATTTGACGGGAGATAGCACCACTCGCATCTTTGGTAAGTGTACAACACTCGCTGACGTGGAGTGTTGATAATTCAAAGATAGTTTAAATCAGACTTTACGTGTTTTCCACGCTCTTGATGGAGGAGCGAGTGTGATGATTTGATTGGCTAAGGTTCATTATTACCGTGCACCGTAACACACAAAAGTACAAAGTTCGTAAAAAAGAGTGTTTGGTTGTTGGATAGAGCCGAGTTATTCATGTATTAAAATTAAGTAAAAATGATTGTCATGTAGAATCTAGCATAAAATAAATTTTATAATGTATGGTTATTCTTTTTCATCTTTCTATAAAATATAAAATTGTTGCTACGAAAAGGTTAAAATTACCCTCAAACTATTCGAAATAACTTAAATATATCTTTAAACTATATTTTGTATGAAAAATGTCCTTTCCGTCTAATTATTGGACCAAGAGCGCCCTTCTGTTTAACAGTTATACTGGAACGGCACTGTTGGTCCAATAGATAGACGGACAGTCATTTTTATACAAAATATAGTGTAAAGGTATATTTAAATTATTTCGAATAGTTTAAGGGTAGTTTTGACCTTTTTCCAATGTTACTATGATGTTTTTTTTGTAATATATATACTAAAAGACGATAAAACTAATACATGAATAAATTTTACATGATATATAGTTTTTGTATTATTAATATATGCATAACTCTAATCAACAATCAGATATCGTTTTCATTGCTAGAAAGGAAATTGTCCATATATTAAAATTAGACAATAAAAACAATAATAACATATTTAATGTAATCTCATATCTAAAATAATTTTCGATAAAATCTCGATAAGTAAAGCATATTAACAAAACACAAGTATGTTAAAATAAATATAATAACAAAAAGATCAAGATGAAAACAATAAAAAAGATGGCAAAATAATACTTTTAACCGAAGAAAAGGAAACAATAAGTAATACTTAAATCTAAGAATAAGATACTTGGAGAGTAACAATAACAATGCTAAATAGAAAACTAGACAAGATCGACTTACTAACCTTTTGCCTTTTATATTTGAAGTCTAAATCTTCTTTTTAAAGAATCATATCCTTGATAAGTTGTAGGGTGCGTTATGTCATGTTGAATCACTTTCGTAAACCTATTTGTACATATCCACTATAGCTAAACTCTCGTATGTACTACTAGCTAGGGCATAATTGCATCTTCTCTTCACGTGTATGAACTATTTCAATTTCGTCTTTCTTATTCTTTCCATCGCAAAGGCCACTCTCGCTAGCTTGTTTTGAATAGCTTCATTCCTTATTCTATATTTCCCCACACATTTTTTTAAAAAGATATTGAGAAACGAAAAAACACATTGTTTCTCCTTTCTCATTTTAAAAGGTGAAATTGCTAACGAAAAATCATGTTATGCTACTACTTCTTGGACAATAAAAATGTTGACATACGTTGGAAGAGTACAATTAATTAAAAGTCTCTTTGTTCAATACTCACATTAGCCCCCACTAAATCTATTTGTGCATCGAGAAGTTCCATATGAAGAGTTCATGCTCCCAAACAAAGATTCAACGGGGCTCAAACTTAAAGACATTTGATTATGGATGGAAAAATATTTACCATTCCACTACGAGCCTTTTGGTTGACGAATTCATTGTTGGTATTTTCTCTCTTACCAGCTTTTTCTAGAGATAATTCCTACTAATCTTTTCTGTCTTACTAGCCGCAATCTTAGGTTTTGTCTGAAGAATGTTATAAATAAATACACTCGCAGATGTTGATGTGACAAAAGAAGCGTGCTGATATGGTGCAAATCATAGTAGGAAACTATGAGTGAGAATTGATGAATGATTTGTTATAATTTATTCACCAAACTCTTCCTTGTAATAAGTGTAAAGACATCCAAAATAACGATGTATCAACATAATTATGATTTAAATAAACACTATGACAATGTGCTATAAGTATATACTTTTAGCCAATTATCAAATATATATCACGACTAATCTTGCATACACGTAACTTCTTTTTTTTAGGGCTTTTAATATGAAAAATTTATTCACACCCCTATAACAAATTTCTGTATTGAGTCCAAGGCAAGTTATAAGAATTAATGACTTGTAAAACTCTTGTTACATGTTAGAAAACAAGATTATTAATAAATGTGAAACCATGAATAATTCTTAGTTAGTTAATTAAAAGTGATGTTTTGTTAGTTCAAGTGTTGTTATATAAAGATTCGATGGGATAAAATAATATGTTGAAAAGGATGTCTAACTTACAAATGCGTCCATATTGAATTATACAAGGATTATTTGCCATTATTAGGAAAGGTCACTTAAATAAGAGAGATTTACTTTATTTTTCATAAATAAACAGCAAGCCAAAAAATAGATATCAAGAAAATGATGTGGTAAATTATTTACAAAAATTAAAATTAATTTCAATAAAATGTTCAAAAATATATAAAAAGAAGATATTAAAGACAAAAAGTAGTATAGTTGTTTGTCTAGACATTTTGGTCGAGCCTGCGTGTATAAATAATAATTCTTTGAGTAGTTATTTAATATAACAAAAAATATTTCTTCTTTTGATTATAATAAAGAAATTCTCCATTTCTTTATCTATATTCTTCTTTTTAGTGTCATTTGCTTTTATGTTTTTCATTTTACATTGCTATGTATATATTGTCTTGTCTCACTGTTAACTCAGCTTTGTGCAACAAGATGAACTTATTCATGTATCAAATTCATTTCATTCCATTACAGCATTTTTCATAAAATAATCTTAAAGATTTCCCATCTCAATCTCATCAGTATGAGGTCTTTTAATTGCGATGCTTCTTCGAATCTTGACTAATATAAACATCATAATTAAAAAGCATATCATAATACCGATCGCAATTAAAAGGCCCCATATTGATGAGATTGAGATGGGAAATCTTTAAGATTATTTTTTGACGAAAAATGCTGTAATGAGAATGATTTGAATTTGATGCCTGCTTCACAGTTCCTATTTGCATCCATGGAAGGAAAACAAAATGTTTAGGCAAAAATGTTTTATCTTTTACAAAGTAAAAATCTCAATCAAATCTCCCTCGTATGACGAGTAAGATTACCATCTAAAGTTTAAATCCCGGATCGACGTCTAAATTCTTACCGTTGTTTGATGTAAGGAAGGCAAAATGATTTATCATTACAGTTTGAACAACACACAACTATGTCTTATCACTCTCTTCTACAAAAAAACATCAACATACCAGGCAAAAGCAGCCTAAAACCTCCAACGATCTATACGTACAGATGAACTATAACTCCGCGTTCCAAAATGTATCTAGTCCGAGGAACCAAAAAAAGGAGAGACTGGAATGTAACACCTATGGGAATGTAGACTGAAAGTTGGACCAATTTTTCCTCAACCCGTCCATCTGCATTTTTGTTGTTACCAATTCATTGCTGGTGCTTTCTATCTTTCCAGCTTTTTCTTGAGCTAACGACACGAGTTTTTGAGCTTCTTGAGACCCTTCTTGTCGTTCATCCATGATTTCTTTCTGCCTGGTTCTTATATCTTGAAGTAATGCTTCCAGCTCTCTAGCTTGTTCCTCCTTTTTATCATACTCCGACTTCAGCTTTGCTTCTGATCTAATCCAGTTATCCAGCTTTTTCCTGTCCTCTTCGAAGTTGTTCAAGAATTCCTGGTAACTTAACTCAGCTCGTGCCAACTCCCTCCATTTCTTAACCATGACGGGGAATTCATACTTGAGTTTTACCAATTGCTTGGCTTGTTCATCGCTAAATAATAACGATGAGGGATTTTCATTTAAAGCAGCAATTGCACCACACATTTCTTTTTCATTTATCGGGTCATGAGCCAATGCCTCTAAAGGTAGTCTGATTGAACATTCAAATATCAACTTTGCAAGTGTTTGGGCTGAAGAAGTACTATTGCTCTGCAGGCTGCCGGACTGTTGGCTGGGATACTGATCTGGTAAAGACTTCAAGAATGACTGAACTGTGTGGAAAGTTGATTCAACATCCACTATATCGATGAACTGCTTCAACTCTTGACTAGGAACCGATGTCCTCTCTTGAGCCTGACAAATATAGTGCATACGTTTATATAAATCAATAACAAGGAAAAACTAATCCAGAAGAAAAAGATATCTGTTGTTAAGTGAGTGAACCTTGTTTGCTGAAAGAACTGGAAGCAGACAATGTACATTAACTTCTGTAGTTCTTGGTTTCTCGTCCTCACTTGGAGCAACATATTGTTCTCTTTTGTCAGTCTTGCCCGAAAAGGAGGAAGATTTTGGCATACTTGGTCCTGGCATAGACTAGAAAAGAAGGAAATGAAGCCAAATAATGAAGTTTTGACTTAAAAATGAAAGATATTGGGACTGTTGAGATATCAGTAATCAATTGAGCAAACCTTGTTTGATGAAGACAGATGATCAAGAACTGGGAGCGGAGAACGTAGATTTACTTCAGCAGTTTTTGGTTTCTCATTCTCAGTTGGAACAACATATTCTTCTCTTTTGTCAGTCTTGCTACTAGATAGATCTTCCGAAACGGAGGAGGAAGGTTTTGGTGTACTTGGTCCTGGCATAGACTAGAAAGGAGGAAATGAAGAAAAAAACAGGAAAATAATGAAGTTCGACTTGGAAATGAAAGTTGTTGGGACTGTGGCTCACATTTATACTTCTACTGATCGAACTTGATAAGAGTAATCCTGTATCGATGCCTGCTTCAGAGTTTCTACTTGCATCCACGGAAAAGAAAAGAAAAATAAGAAAGGTAAACTTTACGAGACAGGAGAAAAGAGGTTACATGAGTTCATTTTCTCAACGAAACATACAAGTTTCGTGTTAAACAAAAAGCAAATAAGAGCATAACTTTGTGAAAACAAGGAGCAGCAATCTTACAATAGTGTTTTCTCCAATTGATTCACCGCTTGGCTCATTGCATGAACAATGATTTTCTTTACCTGAAGTGGCACACGCGGAATTTAGTGATCTTTACACATTTCAGCGAGAAACTAATATTACAATTGTAACATCAATGAAGTGAAAAAAGAAGTCATATACCCCCAACTTGTCTTCCCTAGCTTCGTGATTTCTAGGAAGCTTGCGAAGCTCCTCTGTCAAACGAATGCTCTCATTCACATTTTCAGGAGAAATAAAATCAACAGCAACATTGATACAGGACTGTAAAAGATGAAACGCCAGAAGTCACCGAGCTGAGCTTATATAAGTCCTCTACTATTGTAAATCATCTACGGAATGATGTGTGCTTTGAGAAAATGAAGACATAGTTATCTATTTCAACGTTTGATGAAAAAATTTCCGACTTCATTTCATCCAGAATCTTGAGTTTTACCTTTGTCCTCAGAACTGATGAAAAGGACTTCTGATAACAAAGACAAGCATGATAACATATCGACGTTTACACATTCATAGCTTGCTAGTTGCTTCCACACCTTAGTAGCATCTAATTTTTTGTAAGACACTCGAGTTGAAATTGCTCAGTTTTTTGTCTTTTTTTTTTGTCTCTCTTCATAAAGCGGTACAAAAGATGCCATTTCAAGAAGCTGTATAGGATAGATGATACTTTCTAAAGCAATATTAAGGACTATTACAGGGATCTAAAAGCAGAAACTGCTGGTAAAGAATTCTATGCGCTGCTGAACTTCCTTAATACTACAAAAACTTGCTATAAAAAAAAGGCGATAGGATGACGTGGGATACAGAGATGAACTAACTCCATACCTTTAAATTTCTAACTTGATGAGGGCATCCAGCAGGAACGATAACAGCCTCGCCTAATTTTTGAACAAATGTCCATGGTTCAATTCCTGCAAAAGGAAATGAAAGCATGGTGAACACAAGATGCAGACTCCGAAACTGCTTTTTACACGAGGCATGCAAGGAAATGGCAATGAATCAGAGAGTAAGATGACCATATTCTTCCTTTAGCCTCCTTTTATGCTCGGTGCTCAAGTAGAAAGTTTCGTCAAGAATGGGATGAACAACCTGTAATGGAAACAGTATATTGGAGTTTAATCAATATATTTTTGGATTATTCAATGAGGATATCAAGTAAAATAGTACATTGGAGTTTAATGAAGAATCAAATTTCCGTTGTGACGAGCACTAATAGTCATGAAGGAGGCAAAACATGGATAAAGATAAAATTACTTCAGAAATTTCAAAAATGGAGAAGTAAATTAAAGTTGCAGCTTATTTTTACCTGCGGCAACGGTGAGCCATATATGTGCCTAAATTCCCTGAAGTGTTTCCTGAGATATTCCTCCAATTTAGGAACATCTTGCCTCCTAAAGACATCCCATAGAGCACCGCCACCATCTGCGTCTTCAAATCCTTCAGGCTTATCCTGCCCGAAAAGAGAACTACTATCCTCTCCGTCTTTCTTTGTTTCACAAGCAGCTTTTACACTTCGCAGGCAATACTTCTTATTCTCAACTTTCAAACCATCACATTTCTGTTTCTCCTGAGAAAAGTTCATCCCTTTCAGCACAGGTTTTTCATTTACATTAGGGACGTAATCCTTAATGCTCTCATGTGTCCTGTTAGCATTATCAGCTGCAAATTCCCTCTGATCCTGCTCTTTGTGAACCTGTTTCAACTTCTTTATAACGGAGAGTTGTTCATCTGTTGGGACTACTGCTTGAGTGTTCATCAACATGTTGACCTAAAATATACAGAATGTTAGAGTGCATACTAATATTTCCGAGTATTTAGATCTCTACAGTACCAGCAACTTGTTACACTACATTTTGAAGAATCCCAACATACCGTATCAGTCATAACATAGTGTAGTTTGGTGACTGAGTCTCCGCGTCCAAGCTCCTCAGGAAAACCATAAGCAATGTATGCCTTAGGCCCTAAATCTGGCTTCCCGCAGTTATCAGGAAGTCTTAGAGCAAGATTGAGATAGCCATATTGAGGATGTGTATATTCCATAAAAGGTAAACAACTTGAAAATTCAGCACCATGACGCGGCAGCTGCTCATCAAATAGACCTGATGGCGGCCAGTCATTCAACTTTAAGAGTTGAGGCCACCCGTAACTGTCAAAACGACCCTCTGTGTATCCTAAAAAAAACTGGTGTATGTTCTTCTCCAACTGCACGATATCCGGGATAAAGTAAACGTAAGGTAAGAACATGGAAAATATAACATCAATTGTTTCTGATTTTACAAAGCATGTTTACACAAACCTTACACCAATTTAAGCAATTTAAAACATCAGTAGCCTTCTTGGTTTGTCGACAAACACGGCATATTACCATAGGTTCCCAACTCAATCCCAACGCATTATCATGGACATTAGTTACAACAACTGGTTCACCCTTAGCTAAATATACACGAAAATGCCTCAAATTTGCACGCCGAGTATCCACAGCTGCTGGACAGAATACATAGTTATCATCTGAACTTTCCCGAGCAGCTGCCTTACGTAGCTTGCTACCAGAAGTACCATTTTCACCCTTAGATTTTGAACAGGAGTAGTGCAATTCTGAATCATTATACATCTCCTTCACTTTACATTTTTGAGATATTTCTTTAGCTTTGAGTAACAGCTGCGATATCCAATTCTCAGAAAATATACATCTCAAATTTAATGTTCCGTTACAACAGCCTCCCATATCTTTTGGTGGGCAAGGAATGGCACCATTTTCCACGGGTTTCCATTTAGATGTCATCGCCACCTTAGTCGTTCCAGCACAAGTTCCATTCTTGACTGAAGTTACGCTACAGCCTTTACCATGCAAATAATCCGGTCCATTGTCAATATATTGCATCATCACTTCAGATACATCTGCTTGCAAGTTGCCATTCCTTAATTCTTTGCAACAAGTAACGCAAAGTTCAAAGGAACAACTAGAACACCTCCGGTGAAAATCAACAATAACTGCACTGCAATAGTTGCTGCAAATAACGGATGACATTCAATATTTAGTGAACTTATCAACTACCCCTAAATTGTCCCAAATATACTTCGCTTTAGAAATTCAAGACAAAAATAGTATTGTTTCCAACTATACCTTTACATTAAAGAACTAGTACTTCCTAATTAACGATTCTCAAAAACATCTAATGAATAGAGGTAACTTAGTAAAGAACACCTTTCTTAATAGGCGTGAAATGAGTTAAAGTGACACTTATTTATGGACGGGGGAGTAATTACAATCTAAAGTAAATATGAATGCTCACCAATAAATACACTCGTCCTTCTGGTATTCTGCTTTGGCTATTTTAACCTCCGAATTTGGTAATGCTGCCAAAGAAAGAAAAAATGGTACTCAATGAAACAATCTTTTACTTGAAGAATTACAGCGCCAAAACATTGAGAGATTTATAATACCTTGAATCTGATACTCAATCTGCTTTTCCATCATTTGCTCGGTATTAAGTTGTTCCAACGCAGGCAAAAGTGCTCGTACAATGTGCTTAGAGTACTCGAGTTTTTCTTCATCACTGAACTTCACTTCTACATTCATCAAATGCTGTATTGCAAACAAGAGAAGAAGTCAATTTGCAGTAAATAATTATTTTAGAGCATTAGACAAAGAGAAAGAATCCTACTTTTGCTGTCCCATCTAACCGCAAACATGATATGCAGTTGCAAAAGTCACGACATACAGGGCAAGCTTTTAAAAAGTCCTCTTCTAGCATCCCGGGATACCTACAAAAGAGGATATCAGAAACTGATTGCAGACAAACAGATGTAGCCCCGAGTGATCGGGGCAATGGTTACACATATAATGTAGTACATTTGATTGATATTTGATCATACAAATATGCTAATTCATCAATGCTATAAATATCATCAAAGAGTTCGCGTAAACACTATTACATCATATGATTGTCAAAGATCCAAGTCTTCAAGCATCAACCTCAATAACCAAAACAAAAAATGCACAACTACTTAGGAAAACATAGGTATATAAGCTGTAACTAGGGCAGGGTGAAGCGGGACGAGGCCATTGCCATTAACAAAAGATCATCCCAAAAATTCTCCGAAAACTCTCACAAAATGATAAATCAAATATGCAGTTTATCCAAATCTATACAACTCACTTTTTTCTTTTACTCTGTCCATAAAAGAACAACATATTTCTATATTCACGAACAATTTAACTTTAAGAAGCTCATTAGTCACACAAACATAATTTTAAACCACATATTTCAAAAGTCTAAAACTCCAGATCAAGTCAAACTACGTCACATAAAACTAGGATTAATATGCCTACATCATCATAAGTTTCAATCTTTATCTTCCAAATAAACCTCAAACAAAGAAAAACCGGAAGTTCAAATCCTGAATCGGCCACTGACATACTTACCATCTACTGATACAAGCAAGACAATATCTTTTCACTTTGCATTTAGAACAACACACAACTCTTTCTTTATCAGACCTCTGACATTGATGACACATTTTGGACTCCCTTTTCTTCCTACTATTAGAAAAACTCATTTTCTTCCTCTTCGAATTCGTATTATCACAACTATCATCATCATCATTACTGGAAGCGTAATTATCAATATAATCAACATCATCATCATTTTCTTCTTCTTCACTACTACTACTACTAATATCTATGATCACAATTGGGACATCTAATTTTCTTCTCTTGTTTTGCATTTTTTTTTTCTTTTTACCTGCAAAGAAAATTATCAGCTAAGATTCTACTCTCAAATCCCAATACAAAGTGAAAAGTCTTTTTGGTTTGCGCGGGATTTTCCTTTTCTAATAACTTAGCATGCCTTACTTGGGTATCTGTTCGGTTCACTTTTACTTATTCACTTTGAATCGCGTGTTATTGTATAGTATCAACTTTTAAAACAAAATTGAATCTTGTATATATTTTCAGTTCACTTTTACTTATTCACTTTGAATCGCGTGTTATTGTATAGTATCAACTTTTAAAACAAAATTGAATCTTGTATATATTTTCATCTTTCATTTTAATTGTTGCGTATTTTAAAAATATATTTTCATTTTTATTTATCACTTTTGATATATCAAGAAATATAATTAATTTTATTCAGGTTTAAATACTTTTTTTTCGAGACATCATTTAATAAGGGATAGTTTGATGAAATATCTATATCGATAATTATTTACTTAATAAATGTGTCAAATCAAAGTGTAATAAATAAAAGTAAACGGACTAAGTTTAAGAAGAATAAAAAAGACTTTTCAATTTCGTAATGTTAAATTAAAAGATAGATAGAATACACCAAAGTGTTTTTAAAAAAAAAAATTTGTTGTCTTACATGTGTTAATTAGAAAGTTAAAACTAAATATTTACTTTAAAAAAGTATAATATTTTTAAATGGACTTAAAAAAAATTGATTAATTTGAATTTACAATTTGCAAAGGCAAAGAGTCTTACTCTACCCTGCTTGGTTTATTATTATTTAGATTAATCAAAGACAAGACGAAATCACCTGATGTTTTACGCACTTCATTAACCATTAGACTACACCCTCGGGGCACAAAGAAATTAAAATGGATCGTCAACAGTAACCAACGATCCATTTGAGTTTTACCATTCCTGTAGAAACTCCATACAGAGTTTAAAGCTAATAGCTTGGCAACACCAGAGCCAAAGTACCATTGCAAGAATCATCACCATAAATGTTTTCAATATAATGCAACTACAATTGATAGTAGATCCTAGCTGAACACATGAGAATTACTAAAAATACATGTATCTCGCGGAAATCTTCATCAACTAGTCTCACTAAACAGCACAAGTTGCGTTGCAGTTATCATTCATCAGGTGGCGACCCTCCAGGAACCAGCTGCATTGAGGGGGGGAAAAGATTATATTCACGATACAATATTGTTATGCGAATGAAAAAAGGAAAAAAATGAAGAAAGAAAATACTATTATAGTCAGAGAGGGCTAGATTATACTCACGATAGCAATGTTGTTTCCATTGAGCAATATCTGATCAAGTTTTGTTATCCTCCGCCCTTCAGAAGTGATCTCGCTGTAACATGATTGAAAATTTGTTAAGCAGAGGAATGATAAAATGCTCTTTTCAACTATAACCCATGACCGGGAAAAATAAACCTGTCTACATTCTGGGATGGGGAATAACATGAACTTTACAAATGACGGACATACTGTTTTTCATTGAAAATTTAGGATATAATAACTTTTATGCGAATAATAAACTAGACTTAAAGAGAGACCACATCTTATACTGAATTGTCAATACAGCAGATGAATGCATCCTAAAACCTCCATTTTCAATATGTAAAGATAGTTTTTTTTTAGAAAGAATCAGTCAGCATCAAAAGTTGCAAGATATACAACGAAGTTGCTTTGAACGTGAAGTTACTACACTCAAGGAGTATGTTTTAGCCTTTAGGTGTCAACTCATGAAACTATTCCTATTTACAATGATCCCTTTAAGATCTGTAAGACGGAATATGCAAATAACATTTATCTTAAATTTGTACTAAAATAAAACCAAATCCTCACTCTAATAGAGATACCAAAGCTAATTTTAGTCCCCCAGCGCAACAGATCAGGCCTCCGCATCAATGACATACCCAGGGGCTGAGGATGGTAGAGTATACGCAGACCTTACCCCTAATTCGTGGAGGTAGACAGGCTGTTTCCAAACGAACTTCAACTCAAGTAAAGCAAAACAAAGGAGTAATACAAAATTTGATAGAAATGGCAGTGAAATAAATACTGAAAAATAGTTGCACAGTGGAGTGACAAATATTCCATTCAACTATAGCTCATAGCAGAGTTATGAGGCAGAAGCAGGACGGATAACTTTTCAAATGTCACAAACTATGTAACATCAATATTCAGGCATTAACGTTTATGCAGAGCTAACATAAAAACTGGTGTTTTTGTTCAAACTTCACCAAAAGTTCACAACTTCATTCTTGAATCATTTTTAACTACATTGAACACTAAACCCCGAACCCTATGCACAAGGGTAGCTTTAGTGCACCAGGCTGCCCTTTTCTTTAGGATGCTAAACCCCAATTCAGTTATTAGTACACAGGTTGCAATTCTAAACTCAGGCAAATTTGACCAGGCGCCTAAGACAATACAAAATTGGTCTACTTATTCAATCTCTGCTCCAAATCCAATGCACACAATTGAAAACATGCTAAAATCCTTTAGCACTCCAAAACCCTATAGTTACAATCTTTGACAAAACAATGGCAAGATGATAGCATTCTAAAACCCTAAATTTCCAATCTTCAACAAAACAACATCAAAATCATCAACAAAAAAAACTGCACCACACCATTAGAAGTATAAAAAGAAAGATACAAAAGACTTACTATTCAGTAACATCTTCAAGAACTGGTGTATTCAAACTTCACCAAAAGTTCACAACTATATTCTTGAATCATTTTCAACTACACACGACACCAACCCCAGTTCTCTTATAAGTACACAGATTGCAATTCTGAACTAGACAAATTTGACCGGGCACCTAACACTACACAAAACTGGTCTACTTAATCAATCTCTGCAATCCAATGCACACAACTTTATTCTTGAATGATTTTCAACTACACACAACACTAAACCCCAATTCTCTTATAAGTGCACAGATTGCAATTCTGAACTAGACAAATTTGACCGAGCACCTAACAGTACACAAAACTGGTCTACTTAATCAATCTCTGCTCCAAATCCAATGCACACAATTGAAAATCTACTAAATTCATTTAGCACTCCAAAACCCTAAAGTCACAATCATTGACAAAACAATGGCAAAATTATAGCATTTCAAAACCCTAAAGTTCCAATCTTTAACAAAACAACAGCAAAAGCATCAACAAAAAGAACTGCACCACCACACCATTAGAAGTATGAAAAGAAAGATACAAAAGACTTACTATTCAGTAACATCTTCAAGAACCATGTTAACATAAACATCAAATCCTCTAAGTGTACCAACAAGCTCCTTATCACCCTTCATTATCACCCATATCTTTGAACCAATGCAACGATCAATCAACTCTGCATATTAAAACCCATAAACTCAAAAACCCATCTCATAAAAATAACCAAATAACACAAAAATTACAGCAAATCCCTAATTAAAAAAAAATAATAATAAGAACAAAATCAAAAAGACACAAGGCTTAAAGTTCCAATTGATAAAATCTAGTTAAAGAAAGTACCAGAAGGAAGAAGCTGAGAAGGGTTGTTCGAAGACATAGCTGAGATTGAGATTTCACAAAGTTTTTCTCTTTTGCTCACAAAATTCTAATGGAGTAATGGCGGTGAACTGAAATAGCTTAAAACTGTTCAACTTTAGGGGCTTTTGTGTTTAGGGTGATTTCTTGAAGGGTTGAAATTGACATTTTATAAACTTTGAGCCTTTTGGGCCTGGATTTTGCCAATGGCCCAATATCAGACTCTTAATAATGGGCTTAGATTCTCCTTTCCTTTTCTTAAGGTATATGGGCTTGGCCCATTTAAATTTGAGAATTTGGGGAAACGGATACTAGGAAATTACGCATGATGTCTTTGAAAGTGTTCGATTTTAAACTTTTGTTCTTGATTGATAAAACGATCTCAACTTGAAAATAAATCGCAAGGAAGAACTTACGTTAGATATAGTTTGTGGTCAATTGAGCAAGTTTCGTATCACTATCATTTAGAATGTAATCGAGAAATAATGAAGTTCTGATTAAGAGTTCTAAATTATACGGAAAAAAATTATGAAGTTTAAATTTTTTATTAATTTAAAATTTCACAATTATGGTGTGAAATTATGTTGGAATATTGAATTCTTCTGAAAAGGATTCACGGAGTAAAATCTTTTGACAGTCATAACGAAAATTCATTAGAATTTCAAATTGGGTAAACGACTTATAGAATCTAAACTCCTAAAATAAATCACGGAACTAAAACTTTCACAAAAAAATTAATGAATTTTTAAATTTGAGAAACGATTTATTGAGTTAAAACTCTAAATTAATCAAATATTATTAAGGGCATGACTTTAGATAAGGTGGAGTTGATGCTACATATTCGGGTAGATAGTTGAATGGGTTAGAAAGTATCTCGCTTAGTCTTGTTAGTGCCTGTTGATAGGGGCGGAGCTAGCTTATGCCCAGGTTGGTCATCCGAACCCCTTCGATTGAAAATTATATTATTCTTTATGTCCTAATTTATGTAGTACTTCTCGTTTTTCAAGAGTCAAACAATTTAAGTTTGATCGGGAATTTGCGCATGAAATTTTCAATTTTGTTGAAATGAAATTGATGTATTTATAAACTAAGTAAAAAAATACTATAAGTCACAATAATTGATAATTTAAAATGTTTAAAAGATCTATGAAAAAATTACGTTCAAAGATAGACTTGTTTGAAGCTTGAAATTCGAAAATTATCGCATAAAATGAGACAGATGGAGTGTTTATATATGATTAAAATTATTTTTTTGTATAAATAATAAATGTTGAACCCCTTTCGAGTTTTGTACCCCTAAGTGAAAACATATGAAGGCTTCCACCAGTTCGAATGTTTATCTATTCATATTTTATACCCCTAAGTGAAAGCTTTAGCTCGGCCTTGTAATAATACTTATACACTATTTTATTTTTTTAGACTTTTTGTTGTTATTTTATTAAGTGTTGTATTATTTTTTTTATTACTCGAATTAAAATTTACGTATATTTTATTCTTTTCAAACTCTATCGAATGATATTTCACTTATTGTTGTTGTGCTTTAGTGAAAAGTTAGGTAGGCTATAAGGTGTGATTTTGGCCACGAGAGGGACCTTTTTAGAGGATATTTTGTCATGTGATTAAAGTTTTGTTAAATTCCTCTTAATTTTGAAACTCAAATTAATGAAATGGTCCATTTCTTGTTTCCTATTTTTATTTATATATTTATTTAATATTCAAAATTTGGTAGCTCACTAATTATAGTTTGTCGTGCTTTTAAGAAATTA